TAAGCCTGGCTTTGGAAAAGATCTGGCTGTTTCAGGGTTACTGGGAGCCTATCAGAAGCACTCTGAGCTTGCTTGCATGCTAACCAGGTAAAGATCCCCAAATAACACGTTCTGCTCCCCCTAACTGGCAAGTGTCAGTTTTCTCAGCTGGCCAGGCTGTGGAAATGGGAAAAGATGTACGTGAAGAAGGGCTTTCAGCCTGACAAAGAGTATAGTCCAATGAGGCAAGAGACCAAGTAGGAATATAAGAAAATACAAGGGTTTGGTGGAAACGGAAGAAGCCGTTTAAAGTAAATCAGAGTCAAGCTTGCAAACACTCCACTCTGAGCTCCAAGGAAGGACAAAATATCAATGTAACTCAAGCCAGGAAGGAAAGAAGTGACAGGCTAGCTCAGGGGTGTCAGACATGCGGCCCGGGGGCCCGATCAGGCCTCCGGTGGAACTGGCTATCTTCTGCTTCTTCTTCCAGTTCTGCTGCTGCATCGTCATCATAGGTTTGCAGCTTACAGAGACACACCTGAACAGCACACTCAAGATTGCGACAGCACAGACATTTTGAGCAAGAGGTGTCAGTTATCAGACACTGTTAAATAGGCAAAATATTGAAAGAGTGCTAGTGTTTTAAGCATGTTTATTTAAAGTATAAAAAAATCTTTAATTGTGTTTGTCTGTGTCCTTTATAAAGTTTATATCTTTGCTACCTGGCATTACATTTTTATGACACACCCGGTCCGGCCCAACAAGGTCTCATTTATGTCAGATCTGGCCCTCATAACAAATGAGTTCGACACCCCTGGCCTAGCTGCTGTAGAGTTACTGGCACAGAGGTGTCGAGGTCATACCAAGTTCATTAAAAGCAAGAAGAGGAGGAGATTGGATTTATACCCCGCCCTTCACTACCCAAAGGAGTCGCTTACAAACTCCTCTCCCTTCCCCTCCCCACAACAGACACCCTGGGAGGTCGGTGGGGCTGAGAGAGCTCTGACAGAAACTGCTCTTTTTCAAGAACAGCTCTTATCAGAGCTACGGCTTGCCCAAGGTCATCCAGCAGGTGCAAGTGGAGGAGTGGGGAATCAAACCCGGCTCTCCCAGATTAGAGTCTGCACACTTAACCCAGAGGGGTGCGAAAGATACAAACAGCTCTTCTGCCAGCACAGACGGACCACTGAAGGGATCAGCTGTTTGGGAGACCCACCGTAAGAGCTGTTGAGATCGATGTCTAGGAACACGCTGAGCTCGGAGGATGCGGATGCCGGGGGAGGGGAGGGGATGCTCGGCGAGGTGGGTGCCGATACTGCGGACTCCTGTTCGGCTTCAGTGATCCTGCTGAAACTGATCTTGTACGGCTCCTTTTCCAGAGGCATCGGGTGGCCCCGCTGCGTGCCGGACGTCGAGCTGTGCCGGCCCGTGTTGGGCCTGATTCCAGGAGATTTCAGAGAATAGCTGGTCTTCCTAGGCTGCAGGGAGAATGGAGCACCGTTTTTTCCTGAGCCTCTGGGGCAAAGCATACAGGGTTCCGCAATACGGAGCTTCATGGTCAAGCCCCCATTCCGGCCTTTTCTGTTAGTTTCACTGGGCGGTTTTGCCTTGTCTCCGGGGAACCGGGAAATGTATTTGCTTGGGATACAAGAGCTAGATTCAAATCCAGTAGCACCTGAAGAGACCAACAAGGTTCCGGGGATATAAGATTTCAAGAGGCACAGTTCCTTTTGTCAGATACTCTGACTCTGGAAAGCTCTTACCCCCAAAACCTTGTCGGTCTGAGGTGCTCCTGGACTTGGATTTAGCTCTTCTACAGCAGACCAGCACGGCTACCCTCTGAATCTATCTGCTTGGAATACACAAGGTCCTAGGTGCAATCTCCGGTACCTACAGCTGACAAGATCAGTGAGTCGGTGGTGTGAAAAACCCTCACCTGAAAACCTGGAGAGCCACTGCCAGTCTGAGTAGAGAAAGCTGACTTTGAGCGTCCAGTGGTCTGATTCAGTATAAGACAGCTTCAAGAGGGGACTGGATAAATAATCGGAGTTATTGAGCAATAGGCTTAGATGAAAAGAAATACTTCTTCAGCCAAAAAGTAATTAACACGTGAAATTCACGGCTGCAAGAAGTGGTGGCAGCTACATGCATAGGCAGCTGCAAGAGGGGATTGGATAAACATATGGAGCAGAGGTCCATAGGTGGCTATGAGCCAAAAGGTATAGATAGGAACTCTCAGGCTGGGGCAAGGGATGCTCTGTATTCTTGGTGCTTGGAGGGGGGGGGGCAACAGTGGGAGGGCTTCTAGTGTCCTGGCCCCACTGGTGGACCTCCTGATGGCACTTGGTATCTTTTGGCCACTGTGTGACTCAGAATGTTGGACTGGATGGGCCATTGGCCTGATCCAACATTGGCTTCTCTTATGTTCTTATGTTCTTATGTTCTTACGTTCTTATGTTTATTTTATTTATTTATTTATTTATTTATTTAAGTATTTTTACCCCGCCCTCCCCGCAAGCGGGCTCAGGGCGGCTTACAAGGGGCATAGCCCAAACATAAAACCACATAAAATCCAGTAAAATCCAAAAACATTACAATCAACAATAACAATAAAGTTATTGAATTTCATATTTCGTTGCTGTATCTATCTGGGGAAAGTTCAATAGTTTTCCATGCCTTCCAGAATACAAAAGTTAAAAAAAAAAACCTTTAATTACCCACCCATTCCTAGGCATTAAAAGATAACAGTGACCTCTGGTGGTAAATTATCCTTCATTGATAAATTTAGTTAATGGTGCTCCAATGATAGGATTTGGTCCAGTCAAAAAACCTAATCTTTCCACTTTTGTTATTGTATTCCTAGGCCAACATCATTCTTCCATTTTAAATCTGGTAAATAACCCTCTGAAGAATGTACCATGACATAGTTACATGCCTGGCTTACCTGGCTGGTTTAATCTATGTGGAAGGGGAAAAGAGTTTGGTTAAAAATCAGATACAAGCCAGATATTTCTACTGTGTGTGCAAGAGCTATACAATTTTGCTGTGAAGAAAAATAAGTCAACTGATACACTAAAAAGAAGAGCTTGATAAATTATACACCATGAAAGATTATACTAGTGTACCATCAAGGGCCCTAGTGACTTTTAAAATGTACAAACCTATAACTAAGAGAATCGGAACAAATAAAGCAATGTAAAGCAAAAATATCAAACAAAGAAAAATGGTTTACAAGCTTTACTTTCTTTTCTCAGTTGGAGAGAATCAGCTTGGACATAATAATACAATTCACTCTAAGATTTGGGTAATTAGAGTTGTGTGGTTTTATTAAACACAGACAAAGTGAATTTACCATTTCAAACACTGGAAATAATCTACTGGGAATTCCTTCTGTCATACACCATTGAAATGAATGGAAGCTGCATAATAGCATTCCTCTGCTCTTCCCTTGGGTAAGTTCCTCGTGGATAAACCACCATTTATCTATGTTGTTGTAGAATGAGTGACAGGTATCCAGAATTGTGCATATAGTGATGTACATGGTGATAGGTGAGGCTGAACGTTTCCCACAGTTCTGTCCTCACAATGTGCAATGGTTCATTTAGGATAGGGCACTGAATGAATTGTCCTGTGCATCTCAGGTTTAATTTTTAAAAGCCACATTTCTAATTTTTAAGACTATGTAGATAGGTTTGAAAGAGGTTACACAATGCCTGGTAAAATAACAATGACTGTTAAAATATCAGAATCCAGAGAACAGTGTCAAACGCGGCCGACAGATCTAACAACACCAGTGCCGCCACACCACCTCGATCCAGATGCCTCCGGAGGTCGTCAGTCAGGGCGACCAGCACCGTCTCTGTCCCATGACCAGGGCGAAAGCCGGACTGAAGTGGATCCAGGACAGAAGCGTCATCCAGAAAACTCTGTAGCTGTACCGCCGCCACCCTCTCAATCAATTTGCCCAAATAGGGCAAATTAGACACCGGCCGATAGTTGGCCAATTCGGTCGGGTCTAAGGTTGGTTTTTTCAAGAGAGGGCGGACCATCGCTTCCTTGAGTGCCGCCGGGAACCATCCCTCCCCGAGGGACTTGTTAATAATCTCCCGTACGGCACCTCGAAACCCCTCGTGGCCTGCTTTAATAAGCCAGGAAGGGCACGGATTATGTTGAGAGCAGAGTGTTGGACTGGATGGGCCATTGGCCTGATCCAACATTGGTTTCTCTTGTGTTCTTATGTTGAGAGCAGAGGTCCCTCAGTGGCTATTAGCCACAAGGTATAGATAGGAGCTCTCAGGCTGGGGCAAGGGATGCTCTGTCTTCTTGGTGCTTGGGGGGGGCAACAGTGGGAGGGCTTCTAGCGTCCTGGCCCCACTGGTGGACCTCTTGATGGCCCCTGGTATTTTGGGCCACTGTGTGACACAGAGAGTGTTGGACTGGATGGGCGACTGGCCTGATCCAACATTGGCTTCTCTTATGCTCTTGTGAGGGGACTGGATAAACATATGGAGCAGAGGTCCATTAGTGGCCATTAGCCACAAGGTATAGATGGGACTGCCAACCTAGCAGTTCGAAAGCAAGAAATGGCAAGTAGATAAATAGGTACCGCTTCAGTGAGAAGGTAACAGCACACTGTGCGCCTCGGTGTATAGTCATGCCGGCCACATGGCCACGGAAATGTCTTCGGACAGTGTTGGCTCTTTGGCTTGGAAACAGAGATGAGCACCGCCCCCTAGAGTCGAATTCGACTAGCTTTCGAGGAAGGGAAACCCTTTACCTATAGATGGGACACTCTGTCTGGGGCAGTGATGCTCTGTATCCTTGGTGCTTGGGGGGGCAACAGTGGGAGGGCTTCTGGAGTTCTGGCCCTGCTGGTGGACCTCCTGATGGCCCCTGGGTTTTGGCCACTGTGTGACACAGAGTGTTGGACTGGATGGGCCACTGGCCTCATAGAATCATAGAATGTTAGCGTTGGAAGGGGCCTTGCAGGTCATCTAGTCCAACCCCCTGCACTCTGCAGGAGCATAGCTGAAAGATAGCCCTACATACCTACAACATACCCGAAAGATGGTCGTCCAGCCTCCTACATGGTTTCTCTTATGTTCATATGTGTTAAAGTGTAGCAAGTTTTTCACCATGCAAACTGTCCAGGAATCTTTTAAGAATGAAATATTCATTTGCAAACAAACAAACAAAACAAACTAACTGGCGTGTGGCCAGAGTCTTACATATCTCGGGGGCTGCTTGCAGTTGCGAGGCTCGATCTCATGGGATTTGTTGAACAAGTAGTCCATAAACTCTTTTTCGGGAATATTTCCCATAGGGTTGAGGTTTTCAAAGAACCTCTGAAAACACAAAAATAATATTCGGTTACAACTGTGTTAATAACCATTTTTATCAACCTGGACGTTTCGTCATCCGGAACACCTCGACGAGTTCCACAGACTCCCAATAAATTTGGGTATGTACTAGTTTTGTTAATTAATTCTCTTAGTTAATTAATTCTCTGAATTCTCCTCTACCCAGTTTTTCTCTGGAATCCAACAATCCCATTTCCTTCCCTCTTTTTTTAGGAATCTGGAGTCTGTTTCAAATCGATTCCATGTGGACCAGAAGAGAAGTCCAAAGGGAAGGCTCTACAAAATTTCAGAATTTCATTCTGCCGATGCTTAGAGGCAGGTAATATTTTCCTCAGCCTTCCTCCCCTTCTGCATGAGCACCATGCCGTGTGTAACATTAAAAAAAACCTTGAAAAGGCTGAGAATACAAAAGAGAAGAAGAGAAGAGGAAGAGATTGGATTTATACCCCACCCTTCACTACCCAGAGGAGTCTCAGAGCGGCTTACAAACTCCTTTTCCCTTCCCCTCCCCACAACAGACACCCTGTGAGGTAAAAGAAGAAGAGAAGAGATTGGATTTATACCCCACCCTTCACTACCCAAGGGAGTCTCAGAGCGGCTTACAAACTCCTCTCCCTTCCCCTCCCCACAACAGACACCCTGCAAGGTAGGTGGGGCTGAGAGAGCTCTTTCAAGAACTGCCCTTTCAAGGACAGCTCTTGTCAGAACTATGGCTTGCCCAAGGTCATCCAGCAGCTGCAAGTGGAGGAGTGGGGAATCAAACCCGGTTCTCCCAGATTAGAGTCCGCGCACTTAACCACTACACCAAACTGGCTACACCAAACCACTACACCAAAAAGATGCATAGAAGTGTAACACAAAACTACAAAAAGGAATCAAACAGAAATTAAAGATAGATTCAGGCGGTTAGCCGTGTTGGTCTGAACCAACAGAACCAAGTCTGAGTCCACTGGCACTTTGAAGACCAACAAAGTTTATTTTATTTTATTGCATTTCTAGTCCGCCCTCCCCTGCAGGCGGGCTCTGGGTGGGTTAAAAAGGTAAAGGCAAAGGTCTCACTTGCTCGAAAGCCAGTCGAGTCTGACTCTAGGGTTGCGGTGCTCATCTCCGTTTCAAAGCCGAAGAGCCAGCGCTGTCTGAAGACGTTTCCGTGGTCATGTGGCCGGCATGACTAAGCACCAAGGCGCACGGAACGCTGTTACCTTCCCACCGAAGTGGTACCTATTTATCTACTTGCAATTTCTTGCTTTCGAACTGCTAGGTTGGCAGGAGCTGGAACTAGAGACGGGAGCTCACTCCGTCATGCGGCACCCGGGTCTCGAACTGCTGAACTACCGACCTTCCACAGCCTGCAGTTCAGCGTCTTAACCACTTGAGCCACCGCAGCTGGGCAGGTTACAACCAAATAAAAACACTTAAAATACCTTACAACAATCTAATTCTGGGATCAAGCTTTCGTGTGCATGCACCCAAAAGCTTATACCCAGATTTAAACTTTGTTGGTCTTCAAGGTGCCACTGGACTCAGAAATTAAAAATGCTTCTTGTCTGTTCATTTGAAGGAGGGCAAGGAGCTGTTCCAGTTGGCAGCAGAGGAGAGGACCCGAAGCGACGGGTTGCAATTACATGCAGAAAGGTATCGGCTGGGTATCGGGAAAGACTTCTTCACGGCCAGAGTGGTTCAGAGGTGGAATCAGCTGCCTGGGGAGGTGGTGAGCTCCCCTTCACTGACAGCTTTCAAGAGGCTGGAGGAATATTTGTCAGGGAGGCTGGTCCTGCATTGGGCAGGGGGTTGGACTAGATGGTCTGTATGGCCCCTTCCAACTCTACGAGTCCATGATTCTATTTACATTTCTGGAATTGTCTTCCTGAATCCAGGTCGAAGGAACCTGCAATATGTCAACCAGCGTTACTTTCTGGAAGCTGGAATACGCAGCTCCAAGAAGCTGCATGAATGATGGAGCTGCCGTATCCATTTAAACCAAGCTCACAACCTGCTTCTTCCCCGGTCACCTCTGCTCAGCAAAAAGAACTGCCACCACAGCCTCGGCAGAACACAAAAACATCCACGCTCGCCTTCTTCTTTTACACACAGCACAGAATTTGGAAACGAGGACGGATCACCCATTTCACACTGATTACCCGTATATCCGGTTCGACCTGTAAACAGTAAGGCTGGTTTTGATACTGCTGGATTTCTCCCGTGATCTCAGCCACTTTCCTCCTCTTACTGAAGTTGATTAATCCTTTCCCCTGTCTTTTAAGGAAGTCAGGGTTCCCTTCTTCTGTATGTAGAATGTTCGTTAAGTATATACCTAATCGGAGGGGAGGAAAACTATTTTAGATTGTCATCATTTTCATGCCATCCTATTTTATTTCTGCCCACAGGAAGGGAAGCCAGTGTCCTTTAGAATAATCAATCCTGGACTGGCAATCAAGGAATCTCTGAAGTTAATCTGAAGTTGATTCATCCTTAATCTGAAATTAATCTGAAGTTGATTAATCCTTTCCCCTGTCTTTTAAGGAAGTCAGGGTTCCCTTCTTCTGTATGTAGAATATTCGTTAAGTATATACCTAATCGGAGGGGAGGAAAACGATTTTAGATTGTCATCATTTTCATGCCATCCTATTTTATTTCTGCCCACAGGAAGGGAAGCCAGTGTCCTTTAGAATAATCAATAATCCTGGACTGGCAATCAAGGAATCTCTTGAAAACGAGAAAGCTATACTAGGTCCCGGTCACGCGTGCCGGAAAACGTGGTGGTGGTGGTGGGGAGGCGTGGCGATTTGTGCCGTCGCAACTTGACGTGCCCCAACGCGATCAGACGCGACGGCGTTGTTTCCATCGGCGGGTGTTTCCGGCGCGCTCCGACCAGGAAGCAGGGAGGGTGAGAGGAGCACGTTGGAGCGATCACACGGAGCGCGTCCGGCTGCAGCCCGTCGCAACCAGTTGACAGTGGATTTCCCTGGGTGCTTTTAAACTCCGCTTCATTGGCTGACGGCTACGGGTTGCTGACAGGTGCGGGACGCTGGCCAGATGTGCCCGTTTGATCGCGCCAGTAAACTCCGGTCGGCATTTGGGAGTATCCCGTGGCAAATCCTGCGTGTTCCGTGTTACTCTGAAGTTACATACAGACCTCTCCTCTTTGTTTTTCTGGGTTGCTGCTTGGTCGCCAAATTACAATGATCGCTATATGACGGCAATGCCTTGCAGGAAGGACTGAGCGCGCTCAGTGAGCAACCATATGATTATTTTTTAAGTCAGATATATCAAGATCAATGTTCCCTCTAAGCTGTGGAGTCTTGTGAGCAAAAATTCTACTATGTGAGCTACTGGCATTAAAGTTGTGAGCGAGTGATTTGGCTACTGCATAAATTAGTTTGCTCTGGAGCCATTCTCCCTGAGCGAAGACAAAAAAGTGTGAGCCGGAGGCTAAAAAACGATGAGCTAGCTCACACTAATTCAGCTTAGAGGGAACACTGATCAAGATAAAGGTTTGGATCTCGTGAACCGTATGGGTCTTTGCTTCCTTTGCCTTCTGGCTGCAGCCCCCTGTGCTTCTCCCCCCCCTCCTCAGGAAGCCCCCCCCCAATTCCCCTTCACACTGCAAAACCCCCCCCATCAACTGATCCTGCAAGAGTTTGCAATGGTGGGTGGAGGGTGGAATGTGCCACAAACAGTCCCTTCCTCTGTGGCGAGACTTACCAAAGAAAGGCACACAGGGTGGGTTGATTGCCTTCAGCTTAGCAAGGTATTTTTTGAAATGATCTTTACTCAGTTCGACCGCTTCATCCAAGATTTTCTTCTTCCTCTCCTGTAATGCCTGATTTGACAGAGAGGAAAATATACATTTCTGTCCTGCAGGATAGATTTACAGTATGCTCCTCTTTGGCCAGAATGCGAGGAAGTTTCCACAATGCTTTGTAGCTATTTATTGTCTGTTTATTTTCACAAAATTTACATCCCACCTTTCTGCCCTCACAAGGGCCAACCAAGAAGACTAACAAATTAGAACAAAACCAATTTAACCCACCCCCAACGCAGATCATTAAACAATTAAAAAAGAGAGAAAATACAGACATAACAACAACAATTAAAACACTGGTCGAGAAAGAGGGATCGCTGAGGGAACCGAAACAAAACAAAGAAGTCTTCACATAGTAGCAGAAGGCGGCAAGGGAAGGGGACAGATGGTTCACCCTGGGAAGAGAGTTCCAGAATCTTGGTGCCACAACTGAGAAGGCTCCGGCTCGGGTTGCCACCCACCTAATCTCAGAAGGCGGGGGCACTCGAAGCAGGGTCTCAAAAAATGACAGTAGTGGTCGGGCAGGGCCATAAGACAGATCCCTTAAAGCGCTTGGGGCTCTTTAGCTTGGAGAACGACGGCTGAAGGGTGATATGATTGAGGTTTTATAAGATTATGCGTGGGATAGAGCAGGTCGAGAAAGAAGTCCTTCTCTCCCTTTCTCACAATGCAGGAAGTCGTGGGCACTCCATGAAATGGCTGAGCAGTCGGGTTACAATGGATAAAAGGAAGTCCTTCTTCACCCAAAGAGTGATGTAACAACAGATGGAATTCACTGCCACAGGAGGTGGCGGCGGCTACAAGCATGGACAACTTCAAGAGGGAACTGGATAAACTTCTGGAGCAGAGGTCCATCAGTGGCTATCAGCCACAAGGTATAGATAGGGACTCTCAGTCAGGGGCAAGGGATGCTCTGCCTTCTTGGTGCTGGGGGGGGGGGCAACAGTGGGAAGGGGCTTCTGGAGTTCTGGCCCCACTGCTGGACCTCCTGAGGGCACCTGGTGTTTTTGCCCACTGTGTGACACAGAGTGTTGGACTGGATGGCCCACTGGCCTGATCCAACATGGGCTTCTCTTATGTTCTTATCCCCCGCTACCTCATACTAGTTACCCCTGCCCTCAAAAATACGTTTTAAATGGGATTGCTACAAATCCTTCTGATTTCCTTCTTTCCTTCTCTGATTTCCAACCTGCCTATTTGATTTTTAACCAATCAAAGTTTAGCATCAGCACTCAGGGTTGGTGAAGCGACTTTTCCATAAAAAAAATTAGGGATCACAAGCCATAGTAAAGTATAAGCTTAGTAAAGTATTAATTCAAGACACAGTAACATAACACAAGACACAGTAAAGTGTAAAATAAGACACTGCCAATAAAATTACTATAAACGGTAATTGGGTGGGAAGATCTCTGAATAATCAAAAAGAGCCATGGCAGAACATTAAAATCTATCTTCTTTTTTTTTAATCTTGGGTTATACTTTTTCCCTGGTGTAACCTCTCTGCTTTTTCTGCAATGCATGCCCCTCAAAAAAACACAACTGTATGTGCGGTCTCTCTCTCTCTCTCTCTCTGGGGCAAGTGATGCTCTGTATTCTTGGTGCTTGGGGGGGGGCAACAGTGGGAGGGCTTCGGGAGTTCTGGCCCCACTGGTGGACCTCCTGATGGCACCTGGGTTTTGGCCACTGTGTGACACAGAGTGTTGGACTGGATGGGCCACTGGCCCCATTCAACATGGCTTCGCTTATGTTCACTTATGTACTTTCTCTTTGATTCTCAATAGCCATTAGATGGGGACAGCTTTAGCTTTAAAGTAACTGGATACATATCCTCTATACACGGACACAGACCAGCAAGACGAACCTCAAGGGTGTGCTCCAACCGATACACAGAGGACGAATTGATTGCGCTGACGATCTCCAGCACACCATTGAAGTTATTCAAGTCTTGGAAAACTTGCAAGATCTCGATAATCCGGCTCAACACAGCCACTCGCTCCTCGAAATTCTCCGTGTCCACTATACACCTGATTCAGAAGACAGACAGAATCCATTGACTTTTGATAAATAATAACAATTATGGTATTTTTCTAAGTTGTATCCAGCCTTTCTCCCAGAGGTTCACGGAGGAGAGGTCTAACAGTAGCTACGAGCCATTGTGACTAAAGAGAACCGCCATGTTAAGAGGCCGTCAGCCTCTGAATCCCAGAGCCAGGAGTCAACATCAGGGGAAGACCTCTGCCCCTCTGCCCTGTTGTTGGCCCTCCAGAGGAACTGGCTGCCCACTGTGTGAGACAGGAGGCTGGACTAGATGGACTCTTGGTCTGATCCAGTGGGGCTCTTCTGATGTTGTTATGGCTTTCTTTTATCCTTGCAACTACCCTTGAAAAAAGTGGGACTGAGCAATTTGTCGAAAGCTACCTAGAATCTGAGTGTGGATTTAAATTCAGGGAGCCAGTTTGGTGTAGTGGTTAAGAGCGTGGACCACACAGTGCAATCTGGGAGAACCGGGTTTGATTCCCCCACTCCTCCATTTGCGCCTGCTGGATGACCTTGGGCAAGCCATAGTTCTGATAAGAGCTGTTCTTGAAAAAGAGGAGTCTCTGTCAGAGCTCTCTCAGCCCCAACCGCCTCACAGGGTGTCTGTTGTGGGGAGAGGAAGGGAGAGGAGTTTGTAACCCGCTCTGAGACTCCCTTGGGTAGTGAAGGGCGGAGTATAAATCCAATCTCTTCTTCTTCCTCGTACTCCTCCTTTCCATTCAAGTACTAAGCAGGCTTGATCCTGGTGTAGTGGTTAAGTGTACAGACTCTAATCGGAGAGAACCGGGTTTGATTCCCCACTCCTCCACTTGCACCTGCTGGATGACCTTGGGCAAGCCATAATTCTGGAACAGCTGTCCTTGAAAAAGAACAGTTTCTGTCAGAGCTCTCTCAGCCCCACCTACCTCCCAGGATGTCTGTTGTGGGGAGGGGAAGGGAGAGGAGTTTGTAAGCTGCTCTGAGACTCCTTTGGGTAGTGAAGGGTGGGGTATAAATCCAATCTCCTCCTTCTTCCCCCCCCCCCACCCATGTCTCTTGAAAATTCACTCTTCTAATCCCCCATACCAGGGCTTCCTCTATGTGTGTGTGACTGGTTCCACCTCCCACGTGGCCATTTCGTGGTTGAGGCCATCACCCTTTGTCAGAATTCAAATGCTGCCCACAGACTGAAAAAGTTTGGGGATCCTTGCTTGACGAGGCCGTCCCTTTTCAGCAAGCTTTCAGCTGAGTTCCTAAATTGGCTCCTTCCCCCCTTGTTGATGTCGTTAGCTGTATCTTCTGTTGTGTGGTGTGAGCAGATTGCTAACAAGATGTTTGTTTCAGATCACAGGCTGTCCCTGCAGCTTGTGAGCCGTGGCTTGATTGTAGTCGATGTGTTGTGACTTTTTAAGACTGCGTTTTGTGTGTCCTGATTGTTAACCACCATGGAGCCAGTTTGGTGTAGTGGTTAAGAGCGTGGACTCTAATCTGGAAGAACCGGGTTTGATTCCCCACTCCTCCACATGCAGCTGCTGGTGTGACCTTGGGTCAGTCATAAGTTCTCTCAGAGCTGTTCTCTCAAGAGCAGTCCTCAAGAGAGCTCTCTGAGCCCCACCTACCTTTACAGGGTGTCTGTTGTGGGGAGAGGAAGGGAAAGGAGTTTGTAAGCCACTCTGAGACTCCTTCAGGTAGTGAAGGGCGGGGTATAAATCCAATTCCAATCCAATTCAGGTCTTCCCGGTTCTATACTGCTGTAGAAATGCATGGAAAGACCACTACAGTTCCCCCCCCCTGTGAAATAATCAACAAATCTGGGAATGATGAGGCGTCCCCAGCTGTATTTCAGTAGAGGTGACTGTGACTCTACTGAGAAGGGGTTGGGCTTAAGAACGAAAGAGAAATGAGCATTCTTTTTGGAACTGAATGTCACTAAGCCATTCCTTTAATCCTGCTCCGTTTAGATACCAGAATCTCTCCTTTGCTTACTTTTCAAACCAATGAGTGAGGTTTGTTGTATGCCGGATCATTTTCAGTAGGTTTGGGGAGTTAATTTCTTTATCTTCTTTTGTCCACACGCTCCCAACGAGTTCTGATGGCTGAACGGCCCTGAAACGTAAAAGCATAAATATGAGATGCAGGAAGCTAAGGGGAGCCCAGGTATTAATGCTGTTCAAGCGATAATTCAGCTGCTGCACGATAAATCTTTCAGCTGCTGCAGAACGATCTGCACTGGATGCCCACCTGTTTCTGGGCACAATTTGAAGCGCTGATTCTTACCTTGCCAGTATGGTTACACATTGATGGCACATTGTCCCTGACGAGGCAATTTTACTTGCACTCTTAGGACCAAAACTGGAAGGTACATATTAGTTCCAGGATATACAACTACTTCTGACACAAGGCCAGATATATTTGTGGACCCAAATAGAAACTTTTTGGTGTGTCATTCAATTACATATTGGAACATTCCAATTTTGGTCCTATTTGATTTATTGTTAATTGCCTTACATGTGTTACAGGGACTCTGTTGCTTGGTGTAATTTTGTACTCTTTGACCTCTGAAGAAGGCTCATGAGCCAAAACACGTCAGGTCATATACTGTCTTTTTTTTGCGTGTGTTTTTGTAACTTTGAACATTTTATGAGGCTTTATTGGGGGGCCCTGCTAGGTTTTTATATGTCTTTGTAATAAACACTCTTTTGTACACTTACTTCTGTTTTTAACTTTTGGCCCTCAATAAGTTTTCTAAACTTCCCTTGGAAGGTTTGTGCTTTGTTGGTTTAGATTTTCTCCCTTCTTTTTTTCGGGTGTCTCTTGCCTTTTAAGGGCCAAAAACGGCTTGGGGGGGCAGGATACCTGAAGGACTGTCTCCCCCCCACACACACACACTATCCAGCCTGCCAGTTAAGATCTGCCTCTCTAGCCCTGTTCTCTATGCCCCTGCCCTCAGAGGCGAGGGGGGCGGGGAACAGAGATGGAGCTTTTTCAGTGATGGCACCTGGCATATGGAATGCCCCAGAGGTTTGCCTGGGACCTACCTTATACTCTTTTAGGTGCCAGGACAATTTTTTTTAAGCACTCAGGCTTTTAATTAAGGGACTGATCTCTTAACATCATTCCCATAGTCTGCTTTTACCTGAAGAATCATTTAACGGAAGCGAGCTAGTTTGGTGTGGTGGTTAAGTGCGCGGACTCTAATCTGGGAGGACCGGGTTGGATTCCCCACTCCTCCACTTGAGGCTGCTGGATGACCTTGGGCAAGCCATAGTTTAGGTGCCTGGTAAAGAATTCACCCCACCCCCCACACACTGTGGCCCTAGGTAGGTGTTTAAATGTCCAATGTAAACCGCTCCGAGCCTTCGGGAAGGTGCGGTATAGAAGCCTAATATGTAATGTAATGTAATAGTTCTGACAAGAGCTGTTCTTGAAAAAGGGCAGTTTCTGTCAAGAGCTCTCTCAGCCCCGCCTACCTCACAGGGTGTCTGTTGTGGGGAGGGAAGGGAAAGGAGTTTGTCAGCCACTCTGAGACACCTTTGGGTAGTGAAGGGCCATGGGGTATAAATCCAATCTCTTCTTCTTCTTCTACCTCCCAGGGTGTCTCTTGTGGGGAGGGGAAGGGAAAGGAAAGGAGTTTGAAAGCCGCTCTGAGACTCCTTCGGGTAGTGAAGGGCCATGGGGTATAAATCCAATCTCTCCTTCTTCTTTTACCTCACAGGGTGTCTGTTGTGGAGAGGGGAAGGGAAAGGAGTTTGTAAGCCGCTCTGAGACACCTTCGGGTAGTGAAGGGCCATGGGGTATAAATCCAATCTCTTCTTCTTCTACCTCACAGGGTGTCTCTTGTGGGGAGGGGAAGGGAAAGGAGTTTGTCAGCTGCTCTGAGACACCTTCGGGTAGTGAAGGGTGGTGTATAAATCCAATCTCTCCTTCTTCTTTTACCTCACAGGGTGTCTCTTGTGGGGAGGGGAAGGGAAAGGAGTTTAGTTTGAAAGCCGCTCTGAGACTCCTTCGGGTAGTGAAGGGCCATGGTGTATAAATCCAATCTCTCCTTCTTCTTTTACCTCACAGGGTGTCTCTTGTGGGGAGGGGAAGGGAAAGGAGTTTGTAAGCCACTCTGAGACACCTTTGGGTAGTGAAGGGCGGGGGTATAAATCCAATCTCTTCCTCTTCTTTTTCTTTTATGAGAATCTTCTGACACTCCTCCATGTTTTAAAAACTCAGCTGGGTTTTTGGTATTGCATTTTTAATTGTTAACAACTTTTATTGGATTAGAAAAGAGCCAGAGTCCAGCAGCACCTTAGAGACTAACAAAATTTGTGGCAGGGGAGGAGCTTTCATGAATCATTGCTCACTTCTTCAGATACAGCTAGAATGGGAGCCCATCTGTCCTTATATCCTGGAGAATGGAGCAATTTCAGATGCCGAATGACATCATCAGACAAATGTCATTAGCAGGCGTGAATGGATTAGGTGTGACAGGCAGAGGGGTAGTAGACATGGAGAAATCAGCTGATTTCCACTGCTACGGATTGACTAACATGGGTAACCCATCTTGAAAAAAGTAACTTTGGAGGGGATGGGGGCAACCTGTTTGGGGGCCCGTAGAATTGGACCCCTTGGTCCAATGTTCCAGAAACCTAGTGGGTTTCTTGGGGAGGGGCTCCAGCAGCTACCCTGCGAGTTTGGAGCCTCTCCCTCAAGCCCCCTCCCCTCCAGCCCCCAGAATATACCCTATGTTTTCACCATTGACTTCAATGGCCCATAGGATATAATGGGGCCGAAATTGACATTCGGCTGGCCAAAAGACTCCCAAATGGCTCCTACTGCCAAAATTGACACAAGGGAGTCTTTCTGCCGGCCAAAAGGGATTCTGCCCAATTCGGCTGAATCCAAATTGGGCCGAATTTTTCATTTTTGCACACCCCTACTTGGGACCTTCTGCATCCCGGAGGCCCTACCAGAGACCCTTATAACTACTGGTGTTCCACCACTACGCTATGGCTCTTCCTGCGAACGGCGTTGCTCCACCCCAATCAAAAAACAGGTTGCACTAATGAATCTGCTAGGCAAGGGGTGATTTGCAGTTCAAACTGAGACGTGTTAGAGTGACAGCAGCGCAAGAAACAACCGTTTACCTGTAGAGGTCGGATTCCAGGAGTGTCAGCTGCCGAGCAATCTCTATGGGGTGGAGGGTCATGAGGTCAAACGTCTCAAACTGGCGACTGATGTGCCACTCGATTGGGGGTGGGAGGCTCTCAAACGTTATGTTGTGGTTAACACCATTTGCGTGAGCTTGTTTTTTCCTCCGAATAATCTTTGCGATGGATTCCACCCACTTTTTCATGGATTTGCCTGGAAGACAGCAGACAGTACTAAGAAGACCATACAGGTGCTTTGTGTTTATTTTATGCCAAAGACAACAGGGAACCCTTAGTGTAAAAGTATAGCCACAAACCACACCCACCAAGGGAAGACCATCTACAATTCACAACTATATATTACGTTCACTGAAATACAAAGAAGGTTTAGTGGTCACAACCCAATAGAGTGTATAGACACTGATCCAACAAGTTGCTCAGAACAATTAAACATAGTCTACCAAAAGAACATATTCAAAACCATCAGTAGGTTCTTCCGTAATTCCATGCATAGATAGTGTCCATAGACCTCCAAACAGAAAGTAACTTCAGCAGAAGACGCCCAGTGTGGAAAGAATAACAGCCGTACGTCTCTCCCAGGTATAAATCAAGGCGTTTCAATGATCTTCAACAGCGGCTGGTAAGATGGAACCCAATTTCCAAAATAACATAGGCACAGCTCAAGCTCTCGGCCGTCTCCTCTCCAGGCTAAGCATACCCGACTCCTTCAACCATTCCTCATAGGACTTGGTCTCCAGACCCCTCACCATCTTCATTGCCCACATAGCTCAGGAAAAAGCGGGAGTGTGGCACGTACTGGATGTGCCGCATCACATTAATCCCCAAACTTAACAAAATGTAGGTGCTTGCAGGATAGGCTAGGGGAAAACAATTTTAAATACATAAATGCAAACCAAGCATTTTTGAAAAAGCTATATGATCAGGCACACGATCACTGACCAGTCACAGATTATTAGCGCCACAGTCACACACCCAATGTCAGAAGCCCGTATCTGCATCTTTACGCATAGCAAGCGCACAGGTGTTTGATTGGAAATACAAGGTACGTATTATATACTACACTGTACAGATGGTTCTTCTACAGAGAAAGAACATCTGGATAGGAAATGGCCGTGTGTGAAGTTGCTCTTCGAGGGGTACTATAAATGGGTTTCAATGTGAACCTCATTTGGAAGAGGCAAAGCATGGAACCAAGGAAACGGAGATCACATTCCTGCAACGCAATGTTTTGTAAAGTAGAAAGCGCAAGAGGAAACTGACATCATGCCACTGGATTGTAGCGCTTGTAAATACCATTGTCTTGGGCCACAGCAGGAGTTGAGGCGGCCCACGTCCAATGCTCAGAATTAAAATAATAATAATCCAGATGGGAGAAATCAGGCGGAAATTTACAAAACCAGCTCAGGCAGAGCAACTGAACTGAGGACTTTACTCAAATCACATACCTCTGACGCCCGAAATGAATGTTTCCAGTCTATCGAGCAGCTCCTGGTCTCTCTCAAAATCGTAAAAATGGTGCTCCACCCAGTGTCGAAACACATTTAATACCCTGCGAGAGAGAGAGAGAGAGGAGGGAATGAAGAAACACCACCATTTCGTTTTTATTAACCCACAGACCGAGATGGAGAGATAGTGCAACCGATGATACAGCTTGCAGTACTAAGGACAGCATTCCAGGATTTTTTTAAATAAACCACATGATCGTACAAGCCTCAATGTTCTCTCTCTCACAGTTTCATCTTGCCCATCCTTCAACTGGCGGGGGGGGGGGGGTTCTGGGGGGGGGGGGGATTCTCCTGCCCCATTTTACCCTGTCACGGAAGCTGCGGTGTGTATGGGGGGAAACTGGCCCACGGCAAACCTAGAGATGTAAAATTTCCAGAAATTTTGAAGCTCGGAACAACCCCCAGTTTTTTTCCGTTTTTCCACAGAAAAAAAAAAGAAATTTTCGGAAAAATTGAAAAAAAATGCTACATTAGCACTTTTTTTCCTATTCCAGATTGAAAATCCTTATGTCACTTTTTTTGTTTTTCAGTCGCACAGTCGAGTCCGACTCTTCGCAACCCCATGAACCAGGTCACACCAGGCCTTCCTGTCTTCCGCCGTCCTCTGAAGTTTGCTCAATTTCATGTTCGTTGCATCGATGACACTGTCTAACCATCTCATCCTTTGCCATCCCCGTCTTCTTTGACCTTCAATCTTTCCCAGCATCAGGGTCTTCTCCTCCAGTGAGGGCTCCCTTCTCATTGGGTGGCCAAAGTATTTGAGCTTCAGTTTCATTATCTGGCCTTGGGAGGTTTTCAAACCGAGGCTAGATGGCCATCTGACAGCACTGCTGATTCGGTGAACTTAGGCAGATCATGTGAGGGAGGGCAGGAAGTGTTGCCTCAGAGCTTGCTTCTCGTGGCCCTTTCTTACACGCCCAGGGAAATACTGATCACCATTTTGGGGTCAGGAAGCCATTGTTCTCCAGACCAATTTGGCTGGAGATCCTGGAGGTTTTTTGCACTCTTCTGGGCGTGAAACACTGGGTGTGTGTGTGGGGGGGAGGTATTTGTGGATTTCTTGCATTATGCAGAGGGTCAGACTAGATGACCCTGGAGTTCCCTTCCAACTCTACAATTCTGTTTCTAGGTATAATTTGGTTAAAATATAAAGAATATGTGAAATGGTGACTTTGCAGCTCATGTTCTTCGCCGCTGTGCTAAAGCAGCACTTGGGAGAAACACTCAGTGTCTTATATTCCCACCCTGGAGACTGAAGCTATCCAAGCTCAGTCAAGTTTCTACACAAGCAAGAGAGACAGAAACGCAAACCTGAGTTGCACTGGCTGGACATATTCCTTGCGAAATCTTTTCAGGTCTGCACCAATCGGCTGCTCTCCTTTCTCGATTGCCAACTTGTCTGCTTCGGTCGGCTCAGGCTCTGGGATTTCAAACCTAACAAAAAGGGGGGGGGGGAGAAGTTGGAATGTGAATCATAGATAAGAGAATATACAGATGGGAGAACGATGTCCAGGCACACTTTGGATCACAAATGAAATAAAAATATTTAAGGTGTCAGGATCGTACAGCAACGGGAGCCGTATTTTATACTGCTGCTTTCATGGTACTGAAATTTCCTAAACTATGAAGACGATGACATCTAGGAATGCAATTCTAATTGTTATGTCCAATGTAAAAGGTAAAGGTTTCCCTTGCTCGAAAGCCAGTCGAATCCGACTCTAGGGTTGCGGTGCTCATCTCCGTTTCCAAGCCGAAGAGCCAGCACTGTCCGAAGACGTTTCCGTGGTCTTCCGTGGTCATGTGGCCAGCATGACTAAACACCAAGGCGCACGGAACGCTGTTAAAAATTGGAAAAAGGGGGGGGGAGGGAAAAACTCAACCCAAGATAACACTGCGAACCAAAAGGGTTAAGCTGACCATATATATTATAAAAATACAAAATTTATTAGGGTGTACACATATTAAAATATATTCGGGTTAAAAAAATTTTCAAGTATCAGACTAATAAAAACATATCAAATATTAATACATTAATATTCTGGTACTGAGATTTCAAAAGTCTGAATGTGTGTCATTCCATCAAGGTAAGGATTCTGTTCAATAGAATAATTGGAATGAATATGGCCATACCTGTGGCCCATCATTAATACCAGCAACACAATTGCAAACATATAAGGATACAACATCTGGTCTTAAAATAAGTATACTAAAGAACCTGTATACATTTGTTTGAATGTGTGTCTATAAAATGTTGTATAGTGACCACTGAGGAAGGCCCTTTGAGGCCGAAACACATTTGGTCCTTAGTTGGAAAGTGTGGACCCATCATGTGTATTAATATTTGATATGTTTTTATTAGTCTGATTCTTGAAAAATTTTTTAACCCGAATATATTTTAATATGTGTACACCCTAATAAATTTTGTGTTTTTATAATATATATGGTCAGCTTAACCCTTTTGGTTCGCACGGAACGCTGTTACCTTCCCACTGAAGTGGTACCTATTTATCTACTTGCAATTTCTTGCTTCCGAATATGTACATTGGACATCTTTGACTAATATGTCCAATGTACATATTAGTAAAAGAAATTCTCAATAGCAACAGTCAAAAGTTTTTTCTACCCAATAATCATTGGCTCCTAGTGGTTGGTAAGTTATTTGAGTACAGATGAGATGGCCGGGAAGGGGGTGGGGGGACGCAACATTATTTTCCCCTCTAAGGCCTTTATTTCAATTTTCGGCCTACAATCTCTTTTCCTTTCTCTCCCCACAACAGACGCCCTGAGAGGTAGCTGGGGCTGAGAGAGATCTGAGGGAACTTGTGACTGGCCCAAGGTCACCCAGCTGGCTGCGTGCGGAGGAGTGGGGAATCAAACCTGGTCCTCCAGATTAGACCCCGCCGCTCTTAACCATGACACCACCACACACAGTTCGATTGAAAGTATGAGATGGATTATTTACGACGAACCTTGTTTCCTATTCGCAACTTTTTATTCTGCCTTTCGGGTGGCAAAACTTGAGATGCGTGTGCTAAGGTAGCATCAGAGTGCAGCAGTCTGCAGCGCTCTCTCAAGTACTGGATGTAGCCATAATTTTAGTTATCACAAATATGGAGATTAAAACTTATGAATATGCCGAAAGTACCATTTTATATGATGAATTATATGAATTAAGCATTTCATGCTGTTAAAGCAGTAAAATAAATTCAGGTTGAAGAGGAGGAGGAGGAGGAGGAGATTGGATTTATACCCCATGGCCCTTCACTACCCAAAGGTGTCTCAGAGCAGCTTACAAACTCCTTCCCCTCCCCACAACAGACACCCCTGTGAGGTAGGCAGGGCCGAGAGAGCTCTGAAACAAACGGCTCTTTTTCAAGAACAGCTCTTATCAGAACTATGGCTTGCCCAAGGTCATCCAGCCAGGTGCAAGTGGAGGAGTGGGGAATCAAACCCGGTTCTCCCAGATTAGAAGAGGAAGAGACTGGATTTATACCCCACCCGTCACTACCCAAAGGTGTTTCAGAGCAGCTTACAAACTCCTTTCCCTTCGCCTCCCCACAACAGACACCCTGTGAGGTAGGTGGGGCTGAGAGAACTCTTGACAGAAACTGCTCTTTTTTCAAGGACAGCTCTTATCAGAACTACGGCTTGCCCAAGGTCATCCAGCCAGGTGCGAGTGGAGGAGTGGGGAATCAAACCCGGTTCTCCCAGATTAGAGTCCGCGCACTTAGCCACTACACCAAACTATCCCGTTTATTTCAGTGTTTCCCAGATTTTCCATGGCTTCAGAATTCCCAGAAATGTTGAATCTGTATTTCCGAGAGCTCAGTTGGTTATACAAAAGTGGATCCAAAGGTGCTGCTGTGGTAGTGCAGCAACACGTACGCTAGTGGAACTGCATTTCTGTAGCCAGAGGAGGGGTGATTTTGCCACCCCCCACAACGCAGACCCCAGTTTCTCCCTACACATACTGCTCTTAAGGGTCCTGTAAACCCCATAAGAACAAAAGAGAAGCCAATGTTGGATCAGGCCAATGGCCCCACCAGTCCAACACTCCGGGTCACACAGTGGCCAAAAATACCAGGGGCCATCAGGAGGTCCACCAGTGGGGCCAGGACACTAGGAGCCCTCCCACTGTTGACCCCCCCCCTCAAGCACCAAGAATACAGAGCATCCCTTGCCCCGGATTCCCTATTTATACCTTGTGGCCAATAGCCACCCATAGCAGAACTGGAAGGGGCAGGGGGCTCAGTGTGTATATGTCAGACTCGGGCATTTTATTGACTGTACCTGTTGTATTCCTACCCAGTATATCTGCGCTCTTCCTCTCCCGCTTGCTTTTTGCACCCAGCCTGTACCCTTATTGCTTGCCCTCGCCTGCCATGACATTCCCTGGGGAGGGGGGAGTGCGTGCCTGTAGCAATTTAGGGCAGCAAGCTTCAGTAACCTTTCTAAGAAGCCTCAAATACATCTTTTCATAGGGGAAGTGTCCTTGAAGTAGAGTCTGTGTCTGGCTAGTTGCTGACCCTATATCTTTCATGGTCTTTGTAGTACTGTTGACGTGTATGAATGGAATTTTGGGGTCGTAACTATATGTGTCTTTCCCGCCTTTGCACCTCAGTCCTGACAAAGAGTTTGAACCCGTAGCATATTGTCTCTCTAAATAAAACATTCACTGGAGAGCGTGTATTTGGAGAGTGATTTGACTGTGAACCTGACAGTCTACGGGGATTCCATCTTTGGAGCTTTGCTATTTGTGGCCTCATCTGAAGACTTAGTTCTGGCTGCCGTCTCTCAGCAAAGCCACTGCAGAACAGGAAAAAGTGCAGAAGAGGGTAAATCAAGAAGACTAAGGGGTCGGAACTCCTTTCCGATGGGAAAAGGCTGGAAAGGTTGGGACTTTTCTATCCAGTCCATACGAAAATTAGGATCTGGAAAGGCGGGTAGTAGAAACCCACTGAGAGGGAACGACTTTCAGTAGCCTTATTTCTTCACCACATACGCTGCTTTCCGTTTAGTCGAAACCCATTTCGTCTTTACATTGCCAGACCACAAAAATGCCTAAAAGCTTAATTAAGCAGGTAATGGACTCTGGAGAATGCAAACAAGTTAGAAGCAGCCATGAGAACAGACTGACTCCAAATGAATGTGACGTTCTTTAAATTTACTGCATGCAGCTTCAAAATTGGCTGCCCTATCCTACTGCGAATGCAGCGCCACAATGAACATGAAAGGCTCCACACTTACCGTTCTATCAACAGGTCCAGGAGTTCTTGTGGCTTGCAGAAGGAACGGTATGTTGTAAGAAAAGTGCGTACAAAATTAGGATCTGGAAAGCCAGACAGAAATATGAGGTTTAACACACAGAACAAAATTAAGGACTCTGAATGTGGTCACAGCTCATCGTCATTTCCTTCCCCGCGTCCAGCAATGAAATGTTTATTCACCATAAATCCATCAAGGAGGAAAGCGAAGGATTGTCTAACTCTTGAGAATTGGATAGATAAAATGCAAGAATATGCTGTTATGGCAAAACTGAAAAACTTCATTAAACTGAAAAATTTCATAATCAGAGACCGAAAGACGAATCTGAAAAGAACTGGCAAGTTTTCTATGATTACGCTAACCAATCTTTGTAGTCATGCAGTTGAATGGTTTATATTATATGACAGTTTCAGTATAAAACACTAAAGATGTCTTCTTTCGTATTATTCTTATCACAACAAACTGTTATTCATGGTTTATCATATAACTGATAAGATTGATAAGATGGGATAAAAATGTTAACATATTATGAGAAAATGGTAGTATGTTGAGTAGGTTGTTATACGGTTTTTAAAGTTACAACGCTATCTAATTTTCCTAAAAATTCAAGTATTTGAATCAAGGATTTTCCTTTACATTTGCAAAAACTGCCCTTTATGTTATGTTCTGGAAATTCTACCTTTTATTCTTTCCCCTTACCACTTTTTTTACTCTGTATTCCCCCCAAAAGTTCAAAATTTATTTATTTATCCAATTTATACCCCGCCTTCCCCACCAAGGCGGGCTCAAGACGGCTTAAAGGTAAAGGTTCCCTTGCTCAAAAGCCAGTCGAATCCAACTCTAGGGTTGCGGTGCTCATCCCCGTTTCAAAGCCGAAGAGCCAGCGCTGTCCGAAGACATTTCCGTGGTCATGTGGCCGGCATGACTAAACACCAAGGTGCACGGAACGCTGTGACCTTCCCACCAAAGTGGTACCTATTTATCTACTTGCAATTCCTTGCTTTCGAACTGCTAGGTTGGCAGGAGCTGGAACTAGAGATGGGAGCTCACAGGATGGCTTACATAAAAGTAAATACATAAAATAACAATTAAATTACCATAGAAGCATCTAAAAACAGTTCATTATAAAATAGTGCAATACCATAAAGTGCTAGCAGTGTCGTTTCATAGTGATGGCATTACCATGTGAGCGCACTCAATCTATTATCTAGATGCTCAGCTTGCTGATCTTTCTGAAATATAATCGGCAGGCGCAGGCTGTCAATAGCAAACCAAGGGCCCGGGCTCTATAACTTCCAGTTGTTATTGATAATGGTGGCGGCTCCTAATCAAAGGCCTGGTGGAAGAGCTCCGTCTTGCAGGCACTGCGGAACTGTAGAAGGTCTCGCAGGGCCCTGATCTCTTCCGGAACCTCATTCCACCAGAACGGAGCCGCCACCGAGAATGCCCTGGCCCTCGCTGCAGCCAGCCTGGCATCCTTGGGACCCGGGAGGAGAGTGAAGATTTAAAAAAAAGGAGGAGAGCGAAGATACCTGCGTACATGTGGTACGTCAGCCTCTCGATCAGCTTCACCACTGTCCCGCCTTTGATCATGGGGATGCCATTCCGGCTCTGGAGGCTGTCCTCGAAGACGATGTTCTCCTCGGAGTCCTCCACCGCAAAGCGGTAGACGCCAGGGCTGGGCAGACGCAAGGGCTGCTCGTTCTCCTCCCGTAGCAGCACCGCGTCCAGCATGCGGTCCAGGGTGCTGCGGTACTGGAGGGAGATCAGGGCGGCCATCCAGTTGCTCTTCTCTTCGGCGGACTTGGCAGCAAACACGATGCAGTTCTCGTCTTTGGAGACCAGCTCGAAGGCATGCCTGTATTCGCAGGTGTCGTCCTTGTCGACGATGTGGACCTTCCTCATGACGATTTTCTCCTTGAGCCGGTACTCGGTATTGCTGTAGCCCGGGAGACGGGACTGCCCGTGGTTCGCTTTGCAGCTGATCAGCAGGCCGTCGAAGAGGAACACGTGCCGCTCGTGTTTGGCTCCTACCTTCACCAAGGTCCCTTCCATGATGAACTCGTTGCAGCACTGGCCAATGTCTTTGCCTTCCCAGCCGTCAATGTTCTTCTGGATCTCGTTCATTTTTTTAATGGCCAGGTGCTTGCTTCTGACTTGGCGGTTGTAAAACCAAGAGACCTGCTCCCTAAAATATACATACGTTTTATTAGGCTAGAATTGCTTTTATTGTGGTTAAAGAGGTTAGGGCTCTTCAGCTTGGAGAAATGACATAAGAACATAAGAGACGCCAATGTTGGATCAGGCCAATGGCCCATCCAGTCCAACATTCTGTCACACAGTGGCCAAAAATACCAGGTGCCATCAAGAGGTCCATCAGTGCGGCCACGACACTAGGAGCCCTCCCACTGTTGCCCCCCCCCCCAAGCACCAAGAATACAGAGCATCCCTTGCCCCAAACTGAGAGTTCCTATCTATACCTTGTGGCTAATAGCCACTGATGGACCTCTGCTCCATATGTTTATCCAATACCCTCTTGAAACCACTCATGTTTGTAACCGCCACCACCTCCTGCAGCAGTGAATTCCATGTGTTAATCACTCTTTGGGTGAAGAAGGACTTCCTTTTATCTGTTCTAACCCAACCACTCAGCAATTTCATGGAGTGCCCACAAGTTCTTGTATTGTGAGAAAGGGAGAAAAGTACTTCTTTCTCGACCTGCTCTATCCCATGCATAATCTTATAAACCACGAACATGTCACCCCATAGCCATCATTTCGCCGAGCGAAAGAGCCCCAAGCGTTTTAATGTTTCTTCATAGGGAAAATGTTTCAACCTTTTTATCATTCTAGTTGCTCTTTTCTGCACAATTAAGGGGTGACACTATAGAGGTTTACAAAATTATGCATGGGATAGAGGAGGCAGAGAAAGAAATCCTTTTCTCCCTTTCTCACAAAACAAGAATTCGCGGGCACTCAATGAAATTGAGGAGCAGTAGATTTTGAAGATAAAAGGAAGCACTTCTTGACCCAAAGAGTAATTGTTGTTGTTCAGTCGCACAGTCGAGTCCGACTCTTCGCGACCCCATGGACCAGCTCCCGCCAGGCCCTCCTGTCTTCCACTGTCCTCTGAAGTTGGCTCAATTTCATGTTCGTTGCATCGATGACACTGTCCAACCATCTCATCCTTTGCCATCCCCGTCTTCTTTGACCTTCAATCTTTCCCAGCATCAGGATCTTCTCCAGTAATTAGTAAAGAGTAATTAGCACATGGAATTCACTGCTGCAGAAAGCGGTGGCGGCTACAAGGACGGACAGCTTCAAGAGGGGATTGAATACACATATGGAGCAGAGGTCCATCAGTGGCTATTAGCCAGAAGGTATAGATGGGACACTCTGTCTGGGGCAGTGATGCTCTGTCTTCTTGGCACTTGGGGGGCCACAGTGGGAGGGCTTTAGGAGTTCTGGCCCCACTGGTGGACCTCCTGATGGCATCTGGATTTTGGCCCCTGTGGACCCAGAGTGTTGGCCTGGAGGGACCACTGGCCTGACCCAAAATGGCTTCTCCTATCCTTTTATGTGCTAATTATAAGCTGGGGGGAAATATCAATCACGGCACAGTGCGTTTGCTTTTATTTGACTATTTCGCTTTCCATACTAAGCCCTACTGCCCCCAGATCCTTAAGTAAATAATGCCTAAAAATGGAAAAAATGAACCAGCCATATCCTGCCCAGCCTAATGAGGATATTTCACACATGACAAACTGCAGGCTGATTTTCTTACCCCGGCCGGCGTCTCGGCGAGTGTTTGTTGTAGATACGCTCCATGCTACACCGGAGATTCAGCAGAGCCGTGATGGCTTGTTTCAGGCACTCGCAGTCCTCTTCTTCTTCGCTACATTCTTGCAATTGCTGGAAGGACAAAATATATATAGAGAGATTTCATTTGGCTTGAAAGACCACCATGGGAACTTTTAAAAACACGATTCAATAACAAATACTGAAAGTCCAGATTGAAGGAGGAGGCCGCTGCTCGTGCTGAATAGAAGAATAAGAAGAGAAGAGATTGGATCCATACCCCGCCCTTCACTTGGAGTCCCAGAGCAGCTTACAATCTCCTTTCCCTTCCCCTCCCCACAACAGACACCCTGTGAGGCAGGCGGGGCTGAGAGAGCTCTGAGAGAACTGCTCCTGAGAGAACAGCTCTGAGAGAACTTGTGACTGACCCAAGGTCATCCAGCAGTTGCATGTGGAAGAGTGGGGAATCGAACCCGGTTCTCCCAGACTGGAGTCCGCGCACTTAACCACTACACCAGACTGGCTCTCAAGTCCTATCCCTGCCTTCGTGTCCTTTGAGCAACTGTGGGATCTATCTGGACACTCTCACACAAGGAAGTAAGCTCTACAGCAAGTATCAGACAGACTTATTCCCTAGTAAAAAGTTATCAACAGCTAACAGGGACAGTCTTTATACTGGGCGTGACCAACTTCAAGCGCCACCGTCTATGCTAGATTGGGCATTTGAGGCTCAAAGAAGAAGAAGAACAGATACCCCGCCCTTCACTACCCAAAGGAGTCTCAGAGCAGCTTACAAACTCCTTTCCCTTCCCCTCCCCACAACAGACACCCTGTGAGGTAGGTGGGGCTGAGAGAGCTCTGAGAGAACTTGTGACTGACCCAAGGTCATACCAGCAGCTGCATGTAAAGGAGCGGGGAATCAAACCCGGTTCTCCCAGGTTAGAGTCCGCGCACTTAAACACTACACCAAAAAAACACCACACTTTTAAGCAAACCTGTCTGTCATACTGGGCATTCATGCTTTGCCCTTCGCATCAAAGAAGACAGGACGTAGCTGACCTGAAGATGAAGTCAAGGCAACTCTACCCAAGATACTTGCAATACTGTCCTACAAGCACAGCTTCAGTCCCTTTCCCACAGCTTTCTCTGGCCTCTGCCACCAGCTGAAGCCCAATGTTGTCGTTCAGTCGCACGGTCGAGTCCGACTCCTCGCGACCCCGTGGACCACATCACGCCAGGCCCTCCTGTCTTCCGTCGTGCTCCGGAGCTTGCTTGATTTCATGTTCGTTGCATCGAGAACAATACCAGACTGTTATACCCAAAATTACAACTTGGATGATGGAACCCATCTCGGACCAGGAAGATTTAACATCAAGAGCACTGCAATTTATTTAATGACTGTTTTTATGCTGTTTAATGATTGTTTTTAGGCTGTTTTAACTGTTTGTTATGGCATTTGCCCCTGTTGTCAGCCGCCCTGAGCCCGTTTGGGGAGGGCGGGGTATAAATCTAATAAATAAATAAATAAATAACGTGATAAAATGATGCACGGGGTGGAGAGAGGTGAGAAAGATAAATTTTGCTCCCTCTCCCAAAATACAAGAACTCGAGGGCATCCGATGAAGCCGACGGGCAGTCGTTTTCTAAAAAGACGACGACCAGCATTTCCTTGGGCGTGCGAGAAAGGGCCACAAGAACTAAGCACTGAAATAACTCTTCCTGCCCTCCCTCTCATGATCTGCCTAAATTCAGAGGGAGGTCCTGTCCCATTAGCGGAGCTAATTAGCAGACCGGCCAACGGTTGGAATCACTGAACGATTATGGCAAAACAAATCCACGTGAACAGCTCGGAGTCTTCACTCCCGCGGCATTCCAGCTTCCTCCTGAAGGACAACGGCCTACCTGTAATAGCTCAAAGTAGTGGAAACAGTGATAAACAGGAACCAGCATCAGCCGCGGAAGGACGTACTGCACTGCTTCTTTGAAACCGCCAGAAATTGACTAAAGGGGGAGAAAGACAAAGCAAAGCATTCTTTCAGCCGGCTGTCAGACGGAAGGCGGAGGAGGGAAGAAAGCCGGAGGTTTCCGAAACGGTATTGATTTTATAATTAAGTGGCTTCCCGCGTGCCAACACAAAAGCGCTGGCTCTCCAGGAGGACCTCTAAGGAGGTAGTAGAGCCAGGCGGGAGGTCTCCATGTATTCAAGTTATTTATTAAAATTACTTTTACCCAACCCTCCCAAAAATCAGCATACTCAAAGCCAGAGTGCAGTGTATGTGTTTGTATAGACACACGCACACCAGTCAAGTCTAAAATTTCAATTTTATTGATTGATTGATTGATTGGATTGATACCCTGCTCTCCCTGCCGGGGCAGGCTCAGGGTGGCTTACATGACATTTGACAGGTAAAACAACAATTGTAAATATATTCATAAGAACAAGACTTAAGGTGCTAGTTATCGGCTTATATGGTGATGGCGAGGTAGTAATAGCTGCAGACATACTTAAAATACACCCAGCAGCTGTTACAGTTCACAATCTCCGTAGAACTCTCCCCCAATACGACATTTCAAATAAAACAGGTATCAGACCTTTCATTAATCTCTGGTTATGGAATACCACCAATTGCTAGTTATAAAAGAGCAAGAGTCCCGTAACACCTTAAAGACAAACAAAATTTGTGACAGGGTAGGAGCTCTTGTTAGCCATTGCTCACTTCTTCAGTCTTCTGCTACGACAGACAGACAGACGCAGCGACCCATCTTGCTCCGTCTCCAAGGAAGGCACCACATTGAGTCGTACAGAATGGAAATCCATCAACCTTGTAGAGAATCACTCCACTCTCCAAGATATAAGGACAGATGGACTCATCCGAAAGCTCCTCCCCTGCCATAAATTTTGCTAGTCTTTAAGGGGCTGCTGGACTTTTGCTCCTTTCTACTGCTACAGACAGACTAACGCGGCTACCCATCTTGATCTTGCTAGTTATCGGTTAATTTCCCTCCCGGGAAGCCTTTCCATAAATGAGGCACCATCAATTATACTTGCATGATACTGGGGCGGATCTCACCCCTATCCTACCACTTTGTAGTAGAGATGGGACTCTCTTTTTTGATTATTCATATTTCTTTGGTTTTTATAGGTTTATTATAGATTTAACATTTTATTGGAATGCAATGAAGGCCTGCTATATAGAAGGCCTCTCTTCTTTCTGGGTCAAGGGGATTTTTCTAGTTGATATTCACAGACAAGACAATAACATTCTTTTGGTACAAAAGAAGATAGAAGGTTCATGGTTCTAATTGTTTAAGGTTATAACTTCACAGTGTCTGGGTCAAAAGGATCTTTTACTTGGTATCAGAGAAAAACACTTTTGTTTGGGTGAGAACAAGCTTTAGCCGATATGGCTTAGGTCATGTCAAGTAAATATGTGACGCTATTGCCTAGACACACCTTTCTTACATTTGACCAATAAGGAGATTTTTATGTAAATGTTGTTTAAGTTTTTGTAACCAATTATGCCTTCTGAATATTATTCCCATGATGATGATATGATGATGTCATTTTAAGTATTTAACTTCATGTATTTCCTGACTGGGCTCAGAAAGCAGTCAGCTTTGATGGGTCCTTTGGCCTAACTGTTTTCCGTATTTCGTTGCAATAAAACACAAGAACTGGATATTAATTTGTATAACAACTTCAATGAGCAAAATTTATTGATTAAAATATTTATATCCCGCCTTTTCCTTTTGGCCCAAGTTGGAAGCCCTCCTCCAATATAACTGGCTCTTCCAAGAGCCACTTAAGTTGGAGGAAGCCTCCTTAGAGGGTGGTTAGATCTACCCCACCATCTCTCCGCTCCTCAGAAGACCGTATTTATAGGGAGAGACGTACAACCCACTTGATTTGGGCCGAGGAGTCAGCAGAAGCAATGCTTCCAGCGGAAGTCAAGCGTCAACAAGCCATGAGATGTCTGCAGATTCACACCTACCTGGAAGTGTAAAGCGACTGCGGGCTTAGCCATCAAATTATTAAAGTGTTCGTGATACTGTGGCGAAAGGATGTCTTGGGACAAGGTCTCATAAGGGTCAAAGGCTTGCTCCTTTAAAAAAAACAAAAACAACGACAGTAGGCATTCATACTATATTAAGGGCAGGAAAACTGCAAATCACACAGCATGGTTTGGGAACTTCTGTGATTGTAATTCTTCTACTTGAGTGCAGGACATCATTAATCCTTAAACAGCTGACCTTGGGCATTGTTGCATGATGCATAATGACCTTGGATAATATTGCAAAAATGCAAAACCCTTAGAAACAGCAACTGTGGTCGAAAGGAGAAGATGCAAGGCAGATACGGTAACGGACATACTGTCCAAACCCATTTGGTTAATGTTTTGACCAAAAATGCACAAGACGCAAATGAACTGCAAAGTATGACGGGTTCTTTTGATATTATCTGAGAAGCATCCTATGTGATCTGTGAACTGTTCAGATGACAATTCAGAATGCCCATCTTCCATAGGCTTAATCCAGATGTAGAGCCAAACCAGTCTGAAGCTCTGGAAAAGAGCTGAAATGCTGCAAACCTCTCATTCTCTCATCCATTTCCTGGTTTTCACTAACCTCGGTTTGACCATAATATCCGAACTTACAAAGTACAGTTAGTCCTGATCTCTCAACCAGTTTACAGATCTGCTTCATACTGGTTTGGAGGCAAGGCACTAACAGTCCAGACGACGTGACAAACCATGCTCAGAAATAACCAGGAAGTGGAACCCATGCATGAGAGTGGAGGGAAAGCGCCCACCTACAGGGGCGCACAAACCAACAATTATTTATTTATTTATTTAAAAAATTTCTATGCCACCTTTCCACTCCAATAGAGCAGAACACTAAAATGAAGAAGACGTTGAAAAGGCAATGGAATTTCTGCAGCGACATAACCGTCCAGCAGGGGAAGAAGATAAAGACAAAGATGACAGGACCAAGGAGAGTGAAGATGAAGGAGAACTGGCATATTCTGATGAAGACTCAGATTCAAAACTTCGGGCAGCAACCCCAAAAACAAGCTATCAGTTGAGAAAGAAAAAAGATAGATAAAGAGTTGTCAATGTTTCTAGGATCCTTAAAAAAGGATATTTACTATTTGTTATAATGCTTCTTATGAAGTCAGTTGCGTAGGTGTTACTTTATGTTTTAAGTTTAAATAAAATGTTTGATGACCATATTCAATTAACTTTAACTGAAATTGTAAGCTAAAACCTAATTTTTACAAGCATTTTGTATGATCACTATCTCTTGGGGTTTTAGGGTTTTTTTACTTTACTGTCTCCCATACTTTGTAGATTCCCTCCCTTACTTGCGTTGTAGTTTATAGAAAATGCAATTTAAAAAATCCCCTATGGGGATCATAAAAAATAAAATAAAATGATGATGTTAAAATAGAATTTAAAATAGAGTATGTTAAAAAAACTTTTAACAGTTCAATAGGCACATATAAATTACACACACACACAAACAGTTCCTTTAATGGCATTTCATAGAAGTAAAACATAATATCTAAGAAGTAAAATTAAATTTCTGGATAAGATACAATTTCCATTAAAAGTACCCTGCACTGAGCATTTACAATTTTTTACTGCATATTAAGGCAGCAGCCAGTAAGAACTTTTGCCGTATAAATTACACATAACACGAGCAGGAAAGAGGACCAGTACAGTTATTGGGGGCAGTGCCCTCTAAGCTGAGTTAGTGTGAGCTAGCTCACAGCTTTTTAGCCTCCGACTCACACATTCTTGCCTTCGCTCAGGAAGGAGGGCTCCAGAGCAAACCAATTTATGCAGCAGCCAAATCGCTCGCTCACAATTTTAATGCCAGGAGCTCACAAAGTAGAATTTTTGCTCACAAGATTTTACAGCTTAGAGGGAGCATTGGCAGCCAGTGGGATGGGAGACCTTCTAGGAATACCAGGGCCGTGACAAGGAGGCAGGCCATGGCAAACCACCCCTGAATGTCTCTTTCTTTGAAAACCCCACCAGGGGCCGCCGTAGCCAGCTCTGACCTGACGGCACTTTGCGCCGCCAGTCTTCCAAGGAGCTCTGAGCAGCAGACGCGGTTCAGACACCCCGTTTTATCCCCAGTGAGCTCCATGGCTGATCGGAGATTCGAACCCAGGTCTCCCTAATCCGACACTCTAGGCTCTCTTCTGCTCTCTTTCTAGCGTCTGTTCCCGGCCTAAGAAGTCCCATGGTTTTGAGAACCACCTGCATTTGAGGACATCCCCCTCTATTTCTCCGCTTCTGGTTTGTCTCCCTCCGTCTGATTCTGTGTGTCCAGCTGCCTGTCTGATAGTCCCGCTTTATCTCTCGCCGCCATCGCAGACTCAGGTGCCTCCGAGCCTGAAGCGTCTCATGTTCCCTCCCCGGCTGCCTTCTCCTCTCACACACTCAGGATCCGATGGCATGATCTCCCTTCTGTCGGGCAGAGCGGGCACACAGCCCTGGCCTTCACCTTTGACCCTTCCCTCTCCCGGCGCTCCACTGGCTACTGTTGTAATGCTCCTCCTTTTACAATGGGGCTGAAATGCGCTCTCCACCACACTGGCAAAAACCGTTTCATGTTCTGAGTTCCTGCTGTTGGGTGTGGCCTATTATGCTAATGAGTTCCTGCTGGGGTTTTTCTACAAAAAGAGCCCTGGACGAGTGTACCAGAGTGAGGGAGAAACCCTAAACAGGCCTAATTCAGAAGTACGCTCGGTTTTATTCCATGGAGCTTACTTCCCGGAAAGTGTTACTAAGGCTGCAGGGCCCCTTCGGGCGCTGCCAACTCACCTCTGCCAGATCCTCGAAGCAGCTTCCGGCGAGGGGGTGGGGACTGCTCTCGTCTGTCATTTCCACGGTGTCCTCGATTAGCCCCAAGAGCTTCACTGTCAATTCGTGAATGTCTGCGATGTTGCTAAATATCATATCGATATCCTGAGGAGAGAGAACGGTCCCGAGTGAGGCTTCGTTCAGACGTTCCTCTGCTGGGTGACGAGGATGGAAGGAACAGCAGGGAAAGTTCCCAACCAACAGCAGATGAGGCAGCCGACCTGCCCCTGGGTTCTACCATTTCAGACTGCTGGGAGGTGGAGGACTTCCATGTATGAACGCTCCCCCGTACAAGAAGAAACCATTGCACACAGGAAACTGATGTATCAAGCAGCAAACCAGGCCTCGACCCTTCACCTGGACATCTAACTGTCTATATGGAGGGTACTTTTTTAAAAAAAAAAAAGAAGAAGGAATGCTTTAACATGTAAGACCTTTCCTGCAGCCTGAAGTTGTACAGTCAAAACACAGGTTAACCACCCTGACCGGACACAGGTTAACCACCCTATGGTGAGACCTCATTTGGAATACTGTGTGCAGTTCTGGTCACCACACCTTAAAAAGGATATTATAGCTTTGGAAAAAGTGCAGAAAAGAGCAACTCGAATGATAAAAGGGTTGGAACACTTTCCCTATGAGGAAAGGTTAAAGCGCTTAGGGCTCTTTAGCTTGGAGAAAAGACGACTGAGGGGTGACATGATCGAGGTTTATAAGATCATGCATGGGATAGAGCAGGTAGAGAAAGAGGTACTTTTCTCCCTTTCTCACAATACAAGAACTCGTGGGCACTCCATGAAATTGCTGAGTGGTCGGGTTAGAACGGATAAAAGGAAGTACTTCTTCACCCAAAGAGTGATTAACACATGGAATTCACTGCCACAGGAGGTGGTGGCGGCTACAAGCATGGACGGCTTCAAAAGGGAATTAAATAAGCATATGGAGCAGAGGTCCATCAGTGGCTATTAGGCACAAGGTATAGATAGGGGCTCTGGGGCAAGGGAAGCTCTGTCTTCTTGGTGCTTGGGGGGGTCAACAGTGGGAGGGCTTCTAATGTCCTGGCCCCACTGGTGGACCTCCTGATGGCACCTGGTATTTTTGGCCACTGTGTGACAGAATGTTGGACTAGATGGGCCTTTGGCCTGATCCAACATTGGCGTCTCTTATGTTCTTATGTTACCTGGATAGTCCAGGCAAGCCCGATCTCGTCAGATCTCAGAAGCCAAGCAGGGCCGACTCTGGCAAGGACTTGGAAGGGCGACCTCCAAGGAATACCAGGGCCGGGACGCAGGGGCAGGCTAATCAAGCCACCTCTTTGAAAAAACTTCTGAGTCCACAGTAAAGGTTGCCAGAAGTCAACCATGACTTCCAGGTAAGAAAACACACACACACACACATTAAAAAACACTTAACCACTTCATCCACCACTTGTGACTCACAATTGCTGATGCAAAACCACACTGCTTTGTGGTTGTGCATTTACAGAAATCGATACTGCGACTATCTCTTTCCCCCCGCACATTTCAAAGGAAAAAGACTTCTCTTTTGTCCCATGATAATAACAGGAGGTCACCCCATTGGCCTGAAGTGCCAGCGAAATCCAGAAGGACTGGATTTCATTTAATAAAAGCACCAATACACCTTTTTTTTAAAAAAAAACCCGCAGAGATGTGGGTTCCCTGTGTGGTCCCCCCCCCCCCGCCCAAATAAAGTGAAGGGAAAATTCTCTGAGGTCCCAAACACAGCATGACTTAATTTAACATGCTATAGTTTGACGTATATTGAGTAAGCAATTTAAAAAAACATGAAAATGCGAAGCTTTGTGTGAAAATCAAATGGGAGGAGGGAACTGCTGCGAAAATTTAAAGACGATATGGCATGTACTTACATGGTTAAAATTTAAGGCAAAACAGAAGACAGTGAAAACTGCCGACACACTAATTTTAGCACCACCAGAGGGTTGTGCATGGTATTCCATGGATATATTTCAACAAATTTGACTCTCTTTCACAGATGTCGTTGGGGCACCTCAGTTTCACCGTCGCTTTCCATGGCATTATTTGCTAGTTACATAACAGATTGTTAAGTGCAATATCCCTTCCACAATGAAAGAAGAGACATAAAAATAAGAATATTGGTTTTGGCTTTGATTTGACCAGCACAGCCGATCAGGTGAATTCATATCTTGGTTTATAAACTGGGATTAATATATATGTATTTGCAGTTTTACTTCCTTCCCTCCCCCAATTTGCAAACCAATGAAACATACATGTTTCCTCTCACACAACACCAAGGACTAATCTCCTGAAAAACATCGATTACAACTTTGAAACTGGGTATAAGCTTTCGTGGGCGTATACACTTCTTAAGACACGCTGAAACAGACTTCCTCAAGTCTGTTGCAATGTATCTGAAGAAGTGGGCCTGCACACGAAAGCTTATACCCAGAATCAGGGGTCATTTCCTTCAGGAGCGCACAGGAGTGGAGCTCCGGCAGTAAAGAGCCCAGGGGGCGGGCACATGCAACAAGCCCCACCCCCCTGCTCCCAGCAGCCCTCAGTCAGAGCAAGAAGCAGGCAGGTAAGTTGCAGAGCTCCCCCTGGCCCAAAACAGTCCAGTGGCACCTTTAAGACCAAGTTTTATTCAGGTACAAGCTCTCCCTCCTCTGCGAGGACAGATCTGCACGTTCCCCCCCCCCATAGCTAGCAATCCAAAACAGTCCAGTGGAGCCTGAGCGATGGGTGTTGCCTTCTGACACACTTCCGGTGATGTCAGGGGGTGTGGCATATGCAAATGAGTTATGCTAATGAGCTGCTGCACCTCTTTTTCTACGAAATGACCCCTGCCCAGAATTAAACTTTGCTGCCCTTAAAGGTGCCCCTGGACTCGAACTTCGTTCTATTGCTTCAGACTGGCACAGCTACACAACTGAATCTAACTTTGAAACGGCCAACCTTGCCAAGAATTGTATTGCTAATGGCATCTATATGTTGTTATTAATTTTATGAAATAACTCTCCCTCAGAAAAAGAAAAATTCCCAAGGAAAAAAGAAAAACACTGTGGAAAGTCTGCCCCAAATCTCTGAAACCCTATCATTAAAAGAAACGTTGAAATAAGAACATCAGAAGAGCCCTGCTGGATCAGACCAGTGGTCCACCTAGTCCAGCATCCTGTCTCACACATTGTCCAACCAGTGCCTCTCGAGGGCCAACAACAGGGCTTGGAGGCCAAAACCTTCCCCTGAGAAGAATATCAGAAAAATCAGACCAGTGGTCCATCCAGTCCAGCATCCTGTCTCACGCAGTGTCCAACCAGTGCCTCTCAAGGGCCAACAACAGGGCTTGGAGGCCAAGGCCTTCCCCTGAGAAGAACATCAGAAGAGCCCTGCTGGATCAGACCAGTGGTCCATCCAGTCCAGCATCCTGTCTCACACAGGGGTCAACCAGGTCCTTTGGATTGCCAACAACAGGGCTTGGATACCGAGGCCTTCCCCTGAGAAGAACATCAGAAGAGCCCTGCTGGATCAGACCAGTGGTCCATCCAGTCCAGCATCCTGTCTCACGCAGGGGCCAACCAGGTCCTTTGGATTGCCAAAAACAGGGCTTGGAGGCCAAGACCTTCCCCTGAGAAGAACATCAGAAGAGCCCTGCTGGATCAGTCCAATGAAGGTCCATCTAGTCCAGCATCCTGTCTCACACGGCAGCCAACCAGTTCCTCTGGAGGGCCAACAAGAGGGCATGGAGGCCGAGGCCTTCCCCTGGTGCTGCCTCCTGGCTCTGGAATTCCGAGGCTTAGTGCCTCTGAATGTGGAGGTTCCCCTCAGTCACCCGGGCTAGTAACCATTGATAGACTTATCCTCCATGAGCCTTTCACAAAAAGGTCCCACTTCGTTTCTGAAGATAGCTGGGCTTGGACTCCATTGTCGTTCCAATAACCATAAGAAGTAGATGGAACCGCTTCCCTCTCTCTCTATCCCTGTTACAGAATGGCACATGGGCCACCAGAAAGAAACAACAGTCTCCTTCATGCAACTTAGAACGTCTCTGGATGGAAGAAAGACAGGTAATAAATGTTTCAAATGAAATGAAATAAATAGTTTTTCAAACTAGGAACTGAAAAATGCCGAGCGGGGTGGTGGTGGGGGTTTTCAGGCTGGGATCCACCAAGTTCCGGCCAAAGGCAGGCACTGCGGGGAGATCAGGCACGCCTGTAAGAAAACCTCTTTATGGAGACAGGCCATCTGGCACTGTCTGGTCCCTGAGAAGCTTCCAGGTCAGGCTTGCAACAAGGGGGGGATTTTGCCCCCACCCCCATCTGACAGAAGTCTGGTATTTCCCCCCGCCCCCTGAATCTTTTTTTTCCCTTCCCATTTTCTGCTTTCCTTTGGTTCAGTTTGGTGTAGTGGTCTAGAGCCAGTTTGGTGTAGTGGTTAAGTGCGTGGACTCTGATCTGGGAGAACCGGGTTTGATTCCCCACTCCTCCACTTGCAGCTGCTTGGGCAAGTCGTAGTTCTGATAAGAGCTGTTCTTGAAAAAGAGCAGTTTCTGTCAGAGCTCTCTCAGCTACTCTGAGACACCCTTGGGTAGTGAAGGGCAGGGTATAAATCGAGGAGGAGGAGGAGGAGGAGTGTCTCAGAGTAGCTTACAAACTCCTCCTCCTCCTCCTCCTCCTCCTCTTCTTCTTCTTCTTCTTCTTCTTCTTCTTCTTCTTCTTCTTCTTCTTCTTCTTCTTCTTCTTCTTCGGAATGCCGTCTTGCCCACACCCCCCCTCCCCCCAATCTCGTGAGCTCAGCTCTCTCTCTTTCTTGCAAACAGCCTCGGCTCCAAGTCTGTTCCTGGGAACATGAAGATCTTGGGAGAAATATGTTCACTTCATAGCCAGAGGTTGTCAGTTATACTAATTACGGCTTAAACGGCACGAGTGTTGAAATGCAAAACAGAGCTGGTGTGTAGCAACGGGCTGACTTACACAAGGCGTGAACAGCTTCCTGTTAGATAGGAAAGCGGCTCGAAAGACTTTTATGATCAGATTCAGCTCCCGCAGGTACTGCCTTTCGTCAGCGATTTCTGTCCTGACGATCTCGTAGTAGTTCAGTTCCCCGGAGGAGGAGGGCTCGTCGTCACAGAGGGAAACCAAGCCGATGTCATCCTGGTCGAACATATCCATTAGGACCTAAGAACAGAGCAGAAGTCACATTTCAAATATAACAAATCTGAAACAGAGTCCAGGGGCGCCTTTAAGACCAACAACGTTTTATTTAAGGTATGAAGAGAGTACCAGAAAAATATCTACTTCTGCTTCATTGACTATGCTAAAGCTTTTGACTGTGTGGATCACAACAAACTATGGCAGGTCCTTAAAGAGATGGGAGTACCAGACCACCTCACATGTCTCTTGAGAAACCTGTATAAGGGCCAAGAAGCGACAGTTAGAACCGGATACGGAACAACTGATTGGTTCAGCATAGGAAAAGGAGTACGACAAGGATGTATACTGTCACCTTGCTTATTTAATATATATGCAGAGTACATCATGCGAAATGCTGGCCTGGATGAATCACAAGCGGGAATTAAGATTGCTGGGGAAAAGATCAACAACCTCAGATATGCAGACGATACCACTCTGATGGCAGAAAGTGAAGAGGACCTCAAGAGCCTCTTGCTCAGGGTAAAAGAGGAGAGCGCAAAAGTGGGCTTGAAGCTCAACATCAAAAAAACTAAGATCATGGCATCCGGTCCCATCACTCCTTGGCAAATAGAAGGGGAAGTCGTGGAAGTAGTGACAGACTTCACGTTCCTGGGATCCCAGATCACCGCAGACTGTGACTGCAGCCATGAAATTAAAAGACGCCTGCTCCTTGGGAGGAAAGCGATGGCGAACCTAAACAGCATGATAAAAAGTAGAGACATCACCCTGCCAACAAAAGTCCGCATGGTCAAAGCAATGGTATTCCCAGTAGTCATGTATGGCTGTGAGAGTTGGACTATAAGGAAGGCCGAGCGCCGAAGAATAGATTCTTTTGAACTATGGTGCTGGAGGAGACTCTTGAGAGTCCCTTGGACTGCAAGAAGAACAAATCAGTCAATCCTCAAAGAAATCAACCCTGACTGTTCCCTGGAAGGCCAGATAATGAAACTGAAGCTCAAATACTTTGGCCACCCAATGAGAAGGGAGCACTCACTGGAGAAGACCCTGATGCTGGGAAAGATTGAAGGTCAAAGAAGACGGGGACGGCAAAGGATGAGATGGTTAGACAGTGTCATAGATTCAATGAACATGAAGTTGAGCAAACGTCAGAGGACGGCAGAAGACAGGAAGGCCTGGCGGGATCTGGCCCATGGGGTCGCGAAGAGTCGGACTCGACTGTGCGACTGAACAACAAAATGAGCTTTCGTGTGTCACACCTTAAATATGACTTTGTCGGTCTTAAGGGCGCCCCTGGACTCAAAATTTGTTTTGCTTCTTCAGACCAACACGGCGACCCGCCTTAATCTATCTTCACGGAAGACAAATATGGAGTTACCACCTAATCTCAGTGGCGGCTCTGTACTGGTGGAATGGGCTCCTGGAAGGGATCGTGGCCCTGCGGGATCTTTTAGGGTCTGCAAGACGGAGCTCTTCCACCAGGCCTTCAACTAAGGCGCCGCCTCACCACTACCACCACCAATTGGGGTTATAGATTCTGGCCCTCAATTTTGACATCTGGCCTGTGCCGCCACATGACTTAGGAAGATTACTGAGCTGAAAAACTGTGTGTTGTATGTCTGCATGCACTCTTTAGTACGCCATCTTAAGGAATTAATGAATTATGTCCAGCACCTTATGATTTTATGATCTTATCCGTAATTGAACTGTTTAAATGACGTGGATTTTAATGGTTATTTATGGACCAGCTAATGTAAGCCGTCCTGAGCTTGCTTGTGGGGAGAGCGGGGTATAAATTAAATAAATAAATAATAACAATAATAGAGAACAAATGCAATTAAAATGAACAGGAAGACGCCTAATATTTTGTGTGTGGGGAGAAGTGTTTACAAAAATCTTTAGGTGTATTCTAAAGGTGCTGACGTAAGTCTTACACAGAAACGAAACCCGGTGTTTTTTTAAAAACTGAGATAGTAGGGATTCGTGATTCAACATTAACCCATGGATTCAATGTATATAAAGCGCATGTGCATGCACAGGAGTCTCTGCGACGTCTTACCTTGTCAGCACACATCGATACTTTAATGTCTTGCTGGGAGATCTCAAAGTGCCGTATGTTGAAGACATAGTTGCCGGCCAGTTTTAAGATGTCGGCCGAGATGTATTCCAAGACTGCCACGATGTAAAGAGACACCTGATAATCTATTTTGTAACCAAGAACCTCCTGAAAGTTCACACAAAGAAGAAGTTTAAGGCTGGCTTGGGAACGAGATGGCATCAATAAGTACTTCAGCTGTGGACAAGAGAGAAGCAGCAGACGGGAACAAACTCTAGAATCCACAGACACCACCTGCGGCCACCATAAAACATACATGAGCCTGCCCACTGTAGTTACCTGGGAATGGGAAACTGCAGTCCTGACTTACGACACTCCTCCCTACCAGAAAGACCATTTGCCATTCTCCTGTACCTGCCGACCCAATGGGCTTAAGACTCTGCAAAATTGCCATTTTCCCCTGTTAATCTGGCTTTGGCTGACTGATCCTTCCTCATGTTGTTTTTCTGAAACACGAGCATTGTTTACACTAAATGTTTAGAGCAGGGGTGTCGAACTCATTTGTTATGAGGGCCGGATCTGACACAAATGAGACCTTGCCGGGCCGGGCCACGTGTGTCATAAAAGGTAATGCCAGGCAGTGGAGATATAAACTTTACAAAGGACACAGACACAATTTTTTTTTTACTTAAAATAAAAACATGCTTCCAACATTAGCTCTGTAAGCTGCAAACCTACTTTTGATGCATTGACATTCACCACAGAAATTTCACGCTCAGAGTTCTGAATCTAGGACCCAGGTTAAAACATGAAACGGCTGAGCGATTGAGAGAGTCTGGCAAAGCAAGCTATGATGCAGCAGCAGCAGCAGAACTGGAAGCAGGAGACGGCCAGTTCCACTGCGGGCCTGATGGAAGCCGTCCGGGTGGGCCTTATGCGGCCCCCGGGCCGCATGTTTGACACCCCAGGTTTAGAGACTATTTTTATGTATTTGGTTCATTCATGCCAGTGCGGTGTAGTGGCCAGGGTGTCAGACTAGGATCTGGGAGACTGAAATTCGCATCCCTGTTCTGCCTTGGAAGCCTGCCGGGTGATTTTGGGCCTGTCACACCCTCTCAGCCTCACATGCCTCACAGGGTTGCTGTGAGGATAAAATGGAGGAGAGGAGAAGGAGGTTAGGCGGCTCTGGGTCCGCCCTGGGGAGAAAGGCCGGGGTATAAAGGAAGGCCGGGGTATAAAGGAAGGCTGGGGTATAAAGAAAGGCCGGGGTATAAAGGACTACGGTCCGGGGCCCGAAATTTATTGACTGTGCCGGGCCCCAAAGATGCTAAATTGGCCGTCACGAGGTAGAATGTAAGTTCAGGGGCAGGGTTGAACCAGCATTTAAGGTCTAGTGTGGAATCACCCAAAGATGAAATAGTAAGAGAAAGCACATATAGGCAGTCCACATTTCCGGTTTCCATTCGACGCTTCAACGCACAGGGAGGGTGCAAACGCGACCTTCTGAAGGGGGGGGGGAGGGCCCTTGGATGGAAGGAAGAAATGTCGGAATTGACACCTAATATTAAGGACACGGAATGCCTACTAGGGTGTTTGGATGTGGATGCGGTTGACATCTCCCTGAGGTTCCGGCGCTGAGATTGTTGAGCACTTTAATGTATCGTATTTATTGTATTGTGATGGTTTTAAACTGTAGAATTTGTTTTAAATGTAACTAAATTATCTGATGTTTTATTATTGCAAGATTTCTTGCTATGTAAGCCGCCCTGAGCCCTACGGGGGAGGGCGGGATATAAATTTAATAAATAAATAAATAAATAAATAAATATCACGCCACACCTTTCTCCCCAGTGAAGACCCGAAGTAGCTGACGTAATCCTCCACACCCCTCCGTTTTTATCCTCATGACAACCCTGTGACGTAGGTTAAAGAGAGTGTGCGTGACGGGCCCAAGGTCACCAAACAGGCTTCCGCAGCAGAGCGGGGATTCAAATACCTTTTATTGGCATACAATATTAAAATACACATTTCCCAGTATTAATACAATCCTATAGAGATTATAAAATGGATAATCGTGGTAAACCATTCCAAGGATGTGTCAGGCCTATAACATACCTCAAGTTGTCACAAGATAGATTTGACCATACAGAAGATAGCTGAGTCGTACAATAAATTGAAATCTAAACTTTTAAACTTAAGTTTTTTTAAAATTATACATTAAGAATCATTAATATGCTCAGAGTCATTCTTCCGTTTTATAAAACCATGAAGAAACTTAGCGGTCAGTTCAATTATCTCCGGGTCTCGTGAAGCAAGGAGATAATGTACCTTGTTTCTATCCGGTTGGCCTACTACCAACCTAAGGGGGGCTTCTATAAATTCCACTCAAATGTCATTTAACAATTTACAGTGTAAGAGTACGTGCTCAACCGTTTCTAGAGAGCGGGGATTCGAACCTAGGTCTCCTAGAACCTAGTCCAGCACTCTAACCATTACACCATGCCGGCTCGAGTGCCGTTTCTCAGGAGAGGATAGGCTTGAGTGTTTTCAAGCAGAGGCTAGACGACCGTCTTTCGGGTATGTTGTAGGGCTATCTTTCGGCAGAGTGCAGGGGGTTGGACTAGATGACCTGCAAGGTCCCTTCCAACTCTCACATTCTATGATTCTATGATTCTGAGGGATTAAATCAAACCAATAAAAATAAAATTTGGGCAACAGCCAAGCTCTATAGCAGGGCTCTGGCGCATTCAAAATGCCAAAATACCGTTTTCTCCCACTGTCTGCCACCCTGGCCAAGTGCCTCTTTAGCAACGGGGTCACGGGCAACGCTCCCTCTAAGCTGTGGAGTCTTGTGAGCAAAAATTCTACTTTGTGAGCTGCCGGCATTAAAGGTGTGAGCGAGCGATTGGGCTGCTGCATCAATTAGTTTGCCCTGGAGCCATCCCTTCCTGAGCTGAGACAAAACGGTGTGACCTGGAGGCAAAAGAACCGTGAGCTAGCTCACACTGACTCAGCTTAGCGGGAACACTGGTCGCCACCAACGCTCCCTCTAAGCTGTGGAGTCTTGTGAGCAAAAATTCTACTTTGTGAGCTGCCGGCATTAAAGGTGTGAGCGAGCGATTGGGCTGCTGCATCAATTAGTTTGCCCTGGAGCCATCCCTTCCTGAGCTGAGACAAAACTGTGTGACCTGGAGGCTAAAGAACCGTGGGCTAACTCACACTGACTCAGCTTAGGGCAAACACTGAGCGACTCAAGGCTTTTGAGTGAACGGGAGTCTGACTGCCAGAGAGAGTAACTTCATTCCCAGCTCCTATGAATAACTGCAAACCACCGGATCAGTGTTCCCTCTAAGCTGATTTCGTGTGAGCCAGCTCACAGTTTTTTCGCCTCCAGCTCACCCATTTTTGTCTTCGCTCAGGAAGGAGGGCAGCAGAGCAAAACCGCTTTATGCAGTAGCTAAATCGCTCGCTCGCAACTTTAATGCCAGTGGCTCACCAAGTAGGATTTTTGCTCACAAGACTCCGCAGCTTAGAGGGAGCATTTGCTTCCGATGTCTGGAGCATCCTGCTTAGGGCAGAGCGGCCGACTCCTTTCCGACTTCCTCTTTCCGCCTTTCACTTTCTCCATCTTCTGAAGGCGCGGCGGCGTGCCGTTTCTTGTAAAGCCATTGAGCAAGTAGGTGCACGTACAGGGCAGAGGGAGCCGGCCGTGTTTTTTCACCGCTTCCTCTTGACACATGACGAAGGCCACCCGCTTGCTGGATGTTGCTTCACAGAGCCGGCACGGTGATAACGCCCTGGACTAAGATACGGGAGACCTAGGTTTGAATCCCCCAGCCTGCCAGGGAAGCTTGCTGGGTGACCTCGAGCCTGTCACACACTCTCAGCCTAATCTACCTCACAGGGTTGTTGTCAGAATAAAAAAAAAACAGATAAGGGGGAAATGGTGAAAGCCACTTTGGGGGCCCATTGAAGAGGAAAGTCGGTTATAAATGAAGCCAATAAATGTTCCATGACTGGGCCCAGATATGTAAAACACATTTGTGATCGCCAGAGGCAGCCTGAACAAAGGAAACAGGCATATTCCAGCATTTCAAAAACCACAGGTTTTATCAACCACACGGCTGAAAACGGGCGACATTCCTCGGTACCACACACCTTCAATAAAGGATGTATTTTGTCCACGGGCAACAGGAGAGGGTTTCTTCGTTTTCGCTTCTCGATGGCGGATTGCGCGTCTGCGATGGCCCACTTGTCGATCGGATAAGGAAAGGTCTTTTGCACGCGCTCCTGCCCAAGCGTAAGAAAGAGACTTGAAAATACTTAGCAGACTTTTAAGGAAAAGACAGACGCACAGTTTCACTCAGCTGTCAGGATAGCACTGGAGGAACTTCTCCCTGCTCCCTGCCAGCCCAAAGGCCTATGCGGCCTTCTCCTATGGAAGCAGGGACCACACTCTATCCTGCCCTTCTCTCCAACTGATTCTCAAAACTTCCCTTCCCGAACTTCCCCTGTTCCAGTGGGACGCACAAGATGCAGAGTCAGGGAAACGAACATTCTGCATCACAGTTCTTTGACAGGTTCATTTCAGACAGTAGTAAAGCAGTTTGTCCTCTCTGTCTCTCGTCCCAGGAAAAGCACAACTAGTGATGCAGGACGCAGGACCCAGAGCTCTACAGCTGAACACGTGAAGCTGCCTCATACTCAATCAGAGCCTCGGTCCATCAGGGTCAGTACTGTCTACTCAGACTGACAGCGGCTCTCCAGGGTCTCAGGTGGAGCTCTTAAGAACACAAGAGAACTGTGACGTCCTCCTTATTGGGGAGGACTATTTTCACTTTAAAAGTTCTCTTTATTATGTTTAACTGGGTATTCTGCTGCCACCAGGAAATTTTAAGGATTTCCAAACCTTTATGCTTCTACTGTTGCTCTTTTTAGTTTGGTAGACCGAGTTCAAGGCTTACGAGGAACTATGTGGTCCTGAGAAGTATTTCATTCAGAGCTGGTATAAACTTAAATAAAAGAGGATTTATTGAAATAAATACTAAATAAGAGGGTGATACAATGTAACTAGTAATGTGTAAATGATGTACAATTGCTTTGGTATCACACTCAATCTTTTCCCTCACTGACAGGGATCTTTTCATGTAACTTTGTAACACTTGTTTATCTCAATGCCATATATGTTCACTGTTTCTCTCCAGTCTGTTATGACACTCAGACTTTCCTTTAACTTTACTTCCCTTAAACTTTACTTTACTTTTCCTATACATTCAGCTTTCAGCTCTTTCTCTGTCTCACTGAACAACCTCAGCTGTCAGCTTCAAAATGCTTCAACACAGAACTACTTGTCTAACTGAACATCAACTGTCAACATCTAACTGAAACTCCTGACTGACTCACATACTCATCCAACCAGATTCACTTTCAAAACCCCTCCCCCTGTCAACCACCAATCATACCACACTTGCCTCTCTCAACAACTCTAGTCGATCTACCACAGCCATGCAACCAAACTTTTAAAGAGACACACACAAAAAAAAACATGGAATCGTTACAAGAACATAAGAGAAGCCAATGTTGGATCAGGCCAGTGGTCCATCCAGTCCAACACCCTGGGTCACACAGGGGCCAAAAATACCAGGGGACATCAGGAGGTCCACCAGTGGGGCCAGGACACTAGGAGCCCCCTCCCACTGTTGCCCCCCCCAAGCACCAAGAAGACAGAGCATCCCTTGCCCCAGAAATAAGAACATAAGAGAAGCCCATGTTGGATCAGGCCAACGGCCCATCCAGTCCAACACTCTGTGTCACACAGTGGCCAAAAGATACCAGGTGCCATCAGGAGGTCCACCAGTGGGGCCAGGACACTAGGAGCCCCCTCCCACTGTTACCCCCCACCAAGCACCAAGAAGACAGAGCATCCCTTGACCCAGACTGAGAGTTCCTATCTGTACCTTGTGGCTAAATAGCCACTGATGGAACTCTGCTCCACATGGTTATCTAATTCCCTCTTGAAGCCGTCCATGCTCATAGCCGTCGCCACCTCCTGTGGCAGTGAATTCCATGTGTTCATCACTCTTTGGGCGAAGAAGGACTTCCTTTTATTCGTTCCAACCCGACTGCTCAGCAATTTCACTGAGTGCCCACAAGTTCTTGCATGCACTTCACCTACTGCCAGACCCTTTAACTGGAGATCCCGGGTGTTGTCAGGCTCCTGGGAACTGCTGCGGGCCAAGCAGAGGGGCTATCTCTGAGCCACAGCCTCTCCACAAACAAAACAGTTCTCCGTGCACAAGATACTCCTACTACCCTCTACATGCTTATGTCTGACAATACATGCTTCTCACAGAAAGCCAAACATAGGCTGTGGTCACACGGAGCGTTAGGCACGCTAGAGGGACGGAAGATAGGTGGATTTTCCGGGCACGATCTCACCGCCACATCTGGGAAGCATAGAGCTCCCGTGGCGAACCCGAGGCTTCCCGCCAAAGATGCGCGGTTAAAAACTAGTACCTCGGAGGTACTAGTTTCCGGTAACCGCGGGGCAAGGGCGGGCGTCTGATCGCATTTCCGGTGGTAGTTCCGGCGCCCGCCCATGCCCCCTCATATAAAGTTTTTTTTTTCCAACTGCCCATGGGATGCGCACAAACACCCAACGGGGCATGCGCACACTTTGGTGTCCGGGGAAAAAAGCACCCGTTTGCCGAGCCGCTTCTTTGCTGCGGCGCAGGATTGTGGTGTGCTCGGCACCTCCCCCCTACCACGGGACCTCCATGGGACCTCCACGGTACGTCTGCTGGCGCAACTGCGCATTATTTTGCCCCGGGGCAAACAGCCCCGCTTCCCCCCCCCCCGCATTTTCCTGCCCGTGTGACCCAGGCCATACTATAAATATGGACTATACGGTCTGTAAAATAAATAAATACTACCCATTTGTTCAACACAGGCTTCCTACATTCCACGCAGTTGCAACTGCACTACGAAAGCACACTTTCTGTATCTATCTGGTCCAGTTGGGGAAACAGAGCCCCCCACCCCTCCCTTTCTCCCCAGCAGGGCAGAACTCCTGCCACGATTCAGCTTGGATTACAGTCAAAGCTGTTTCGGTTCCTCTTTCTCCAACCAGCATTGTTCTGTAAGGAAACACCTGTCTCGCTCCTTAGGGTGCTTTGCCATTCATACCTCCACATCTTGAAAAGTCCGTGGCTGAGCAATGCATAGCTTGTTTAGCAGCTGCAGGATTAACTCCTCGATGTAGTAGAGGGAATCTTCCTTGGCCGAGTGTGGACTTGCTGCTGAACCTGCACAAAGAGGAGGGGTTTTTTTTGCTGTTGTTTCATATAGTCAGAAATTAGAAACAGGCAGAGATATTGAGACTGGTACGGGCTGCCTGTCATCTCAAGAGCCTTGTTTCTCCTGCATACCCCAAAATAAACGTCAGAAAATGAACACTGGTGTAAAACAACGGCCACAATTTTACTTCATCAACTGAAAGCCTAAGACCAATGGCCTCTAAAACTCTGACAAGGGTTCGCATGTGTGGAAACAAGAGCTAACAGAGCAGGCCTCGACAAGTTTTCTGTGGCTCCAGGAACCGGCCCCAAAATTTAGGAATCAGACTCATTTTTCAGCCTTCAGGGTTTTGTATTTTAATGACTGTATTTTCTAGCTGTTGCCACCACAAAGCCCAACCCTAAAATGTTCACATTGTCCCATAATTGTATTGAGCCAGGTTGGTGTAGTGGTTAGGAGTGTGGACTCTGATCTGGGAGAACTGGGCTTAATTTCCTGCTCCTCCACATGCAGCTGCTGGTGTGACCTTGGGTCAGTCTCAGAGCTGTCCTTTCAAGAGCAGTCCTCGAAAGAGCTCTCTCAGCCCCACCTTACCTCACAGGGTATCTGTTGTGGAGAGGGGAAGGGAAAGGAGACGGTAAGCCGCTCTGAGACTCCAAGTGAAGGGCGGGGGATAAATCCAACTCTTCTTCTTCCGATTACAAAGCTGTGATAGTGTCAGGCTCATTAGTCAGTTCACACAACACACAAGGCTTCTTAAGAAGATAAGTGTTTTTATTGGTAGTCCAGTACTAAAGAACGAGTATACAGCTTGTGTCAGGAATGACCTGTAATATGATGGCCACTGACTTACAGTGTACAGCCGCCCTGAGCCCGTTCACGGGGAGGGCGGGTTATAAATTTAAATAAATAAATAATCAAACCCCCCCCCCCAGGAGCCCAAGCCAATGAGTACATTTCGCGCATGCGGGTAGCAAGAAGCAGGAAACAGCTAAGCGCCTAAGCCGTTGACTTTCCCAAGCAAGTTAATTTGCAGCTGGAGAACGACAACAAGGTCAGGCCAGAGATAGCAGCCAGAAGCTAAACAGGGATGAGCTGGGAACAAGAAGGAGGCGGTGCACCCCTCCACATTCCAGTTCTATGACAGGGCTACCTGACAGATGGTGGTAGAAAGTGCCCGCAAGTCACAGCTGTCTTATGGCAACTCCATGGGATTTTCAAGGCAAGAGACATTCAGGGATGGTTTGCAACCCTGGTATACTTTGGTGGTCTCCCGTGTAAATACTAGCCAGGGCCGACCCTGCTTAGCTTCCGAGGTCTCACGAGACCAGGCTAGCCTAGGCTATCCAGGTCAGGGCAAAACTGTTGTAGTACATGAACTATGTACTGTATAAACTATAAACTATGTAAACTGGCTGACATCACTGTAGCAAAAAGCTAACTTCTAACCCTAACTGAACTTCTTCCCAATTGCTCATGATTTCATTATTGCTCTTAAAAGACCCACTTAACGGAATGATGGAGCCAATACGGAAAGCCTGTATAGAAACTGAAAAATGGAGCTGGTACAGAAAGCCATCACTAAGCCGGCCACGAGGTTTATCAACAAGTCCCTTGCAGAGGGACGATTCCCGGGGGCACTCAAGGAAGCGATGGTCCGCCCTCTCTTGAAAAAGCCATCCCTGGAGCCGACCGAATTGGCCAACTATAGGCCGGTTTCCAATTTGCCCTATTTGGGAAAATTAATTGAGAGGGTGGTAGTGATACAGCTACAGAGCTATCTGGATGACGCTTCCATATTAGATCCCTTCCAGTCCGGCTTTCGCCCGGGACATGGGACGGAGACAGCACTGGTCGCCCTTACTGACGACCAGTGTTCCCTCTAAGCTGAGTTAGTGTGAGCTAGCTCACAGTTTTTTAGCCTCCGGCTCACATATTTTTGTCTTCACTCAGGAAGGATAGGGCTCCAGAGCAAACTAATGTATGCAGTCGCCAAATTGCTCACTCACAACTTTAATGCCAGTAGCTCACAAAGTAAGATTTTTGCTCACAAAACTCTACAGCTTAGAGGGAACATTGCTGACGACCTCTGGAGGCACCTGGATTGGGGCAGTTCGGCAGTGTTGCTGTTGCTCGATCTGTCGGCCGCATTTGATACGGTCGACCATCAGCTACTAACCCATCGCCTTGCCGACGTGGGGATACAGGGGTTTGCCTTGCAGTGGCTTGTCTCCTTTCTCCAAGGTTGGGGACAAAGGGTGGCACTAGGTGAACAGCAGTCCCGGAGGCACCTACTTGAATGTGGAGTGCCTCAGGGGGTGGTGTTTCCCCCAATGCTCTTTAATATCTACAAGCGCCCCCTTGCCCAGATTGCCCGGAGGTTTGGGCTCAGATGTCACCAGTACACTGATGACACCCAGCTCTATCTGATGTTGGGCAGTCAGTCGGACTCCAGACCGGAAGATCTGGACCGGGCACTGCACGCCGTGGCTGGTTGGCTCAGGCTGAGTCAGCTAAAGCTAAACCCGGCAAAGACGGAGGTCCTGTGCCTGAGTCGGGGCAGTTCGGGGTTGGGGCTCCCGCTCCCAGCCTTCGACAGGGTGCCATTGGTGCCTGCGCCAGTGGTTAGGAGTTTGGGAGTGTTCCTGGAACCCTCCCTGGCAATGGAGGCCCAGGTAGCAGCCACTGCTCAGTCGGCCTTCTACCACCTGCGGCTGGTTCGGCAGTTGGCTCCCTTCAAGGTGTTGGTACTTACCTTTAAAGCCCTATATGGCCAGGGTCCAACACACCTGAGGGACCGCCTTTCCCCGTATATACCCCAGAGACCACTACGGTCTGGGGCGCAACATCGGTTGGTTATTCCAGGCCCCAGGGAGGCCAGGCTTGCGGCTACTAGAGCCAGGGCTTTCTCAGTGGTGGCTCCTTACTGGTGGAATGAGCTCCCGGAAGAGATCCGGGCCCTGCGGGATCTTGTGCAGTTCCGCAGGGCCTGCAAGACGGAGCTCTTCCACCAGGCCTTCAACTAGGAGCCGCCCACATTACCACCATCTTACCATCACATTACCATCAACGACCACTATTAATATCTGTGGGGGAGGCTGGATGCAGTGAAATCGAGCCAAACCGCCTAGGAGAATGTAATCGCCTGAACCTGCATGACACATCACGCCATCTTGGTTGCTAATTACTGAGTGCACTTTATTCGGCAATTGCCGATTGTTTAAATGTTCTAAATGTTTTAACAGTGTTAAGTTTTAAATGTTTTAACTGTATATGATTCTTGGCACATTGTGCCAGGCAATGTGAGCCGCCCTGAGCCCGCTTGCGGGGAGGGCGGGTTATAAATATAATAAATAAATAAATCTACCACTATAGAATCAAGTCAACATATAAACAAGCATTTACAAGAACTTCACTTGCATGCGTTTTTTATCTCATACAACAAAACATTCTGATGTGAAACGACAAATAAGCTTTGTACTTCTACTGAGGATCTCCAAGAGTCACTACATACAGGGCTATTTGGCTTCAGAGCTGGCCACACCCACTACAGCCAAAACCTCTCTCTGTGTGTGGCTACGGAGGGAAGGCTTGGAGAGCGACACAGACACACACCCTGGCGACTCCAAGGCAGCGGGCCAGGGGGGCCCCTGGAAGGATCGGGGAGGCGTTTAAATGCCTCCCCCTGGCCTGTCCAAGGGCCAGATTGCCCAGGCTCCCTGCAGCCCTGGGGTGCCCGGGCCAGCCAAAGGAAGGCATTTTAAACTGCCTTCCCTTCCCTTCAAGGGGGGAGGGCTTACCTGGGCTCCCTGCAGCTACCGGGCACTCGGGCAAGCCAAAGAAAGGCATGGGGTGTGGCCTAATATGCTAATGAGCTACAGTGTCAGGGTGTGGCCTAATATGCTAATGAGTATCTGCTGTTGAGTGTGGCCTATTATGCTAATGAGTTCCTGCTGGGCTTTTTCTACAAAAAAAGCTCTGCACTACAATAAAACCACTGCTGAAAAAGACCAGGCGCCGCAATGGAATTTCTGGTGTTCCCTCTAAGCTGAGTCAGTGTGAGCTAGCTCACAGTTTTTTTAGCCTCCAGCTCACACATTTTTGCCTTAGCTCAGGAAGGATGTGGCTCCAGAGCAAGCTAATTTATGCAGCAGCCAAGTCGCTCGCTCACAACTTCAATGCTAGGAGCTCACAAAGTAGGATTTTTGCTCGCTTGACTCCACAGTTTAGAGGGAGCATTGGTGGCCACCCAAGGTTTATCAAACCCTGTGCCGGAGGAGGCTGCAACTCATTCAACTCAGCGTCCAGCAGGAAAGTTTTTGGTTCTTCCCTATTGTGAAAACTAAGCCAGCGAGTCTCCTCATGTAGACAACAATCCTCCCTTTACTTCTCCTTGCCTAGCCTCTTCCGAAGCGTATAAGGACTTTTAGGGGCTGCCGCCCCTTTCTCTGATAGAGAGTCCTCCCCGGAGGATTCCGAGTCCAACTCGCCATTGTGCCTTTAAAAAATGTTGAAGTGAGATGCTTTGGAGTGTTTCTGTATGATAGTTAAACTTAAGATTTGAAAAAGATAATGTTAACCTTGACTCAGTTGATAGTAAGATTAACAGGATTAAGACTAAATGTATGGTTAAACTGGTGGGATGATCGCCTCTCTTGGGTTTTTAGTTAGTAGTGGGTATCTTTCTTTATCCTATCAATGTAGTTCCCCCTCCCATTTTCTGTTGTAGTTTGTAGTGTTATAAAAAATGCAATAAAAAAATCCCCTCCGGGGGTTTAAAAAAAAACACCCAATCCTGAACACGTCTACTCAAAAGGAAGTCCCACTGTGTTAAAAGGGGCTCACTCCCAGGAAAACGTTCTCAGGGCTGCAGCCTTAGACTATCAGACGTAATGTAGCCAATCCTCCAAGAGCGTACAGTAGCCCCTGTCAGAAGAGCTCTATAAGCTCTTGGAGGATTGGCTACATTAGGAGTGTGTCCGCCTAATATGCAAAGATGTCCCTGCTACAAAAAGAGCCCTGGGACACACCCCTAATGTAGCTAATCCTCCAAGAGCTTACAATAGCCCCTGTCAAAAGAGCTCTGTAAACTCTTGGTGGATTGGCTACATTAGGGGTGTGTCCGCCTAATATGCAAAGACGTCCCTGCTACAAAAAGAGCCCTGCGAACACACCCCTAATGTAGCCAATCCGCCAAGAGCTTACAGAGCTCTTCTTACAGGGGCTGCTGGAAGCTCTTGGCGGATTGGCTACATTAGGGGTGGGTCGCCTAATATGCAAAGGAGTCCCTGCTACAAAAAAGAGCCCTGTGTATGGAGATGTAGACAAGAATATGATGAAGCAGGCGGATGAGACAGCCAAAGCACAGAATTCTCATTCTCAAACCTCTTCTATCAGCGTTCTGTTTTGGGCAGCTATCCTGAGGGAAATATACTATCCCTTTCCCAGCTAGATTCCGGTCCAGTAGCATCTTAGAAGCAAACTCCGGAGCACGACCGAAGACAGGAGGGCCTGGCGTGATGTGGTCCATGGGGCCATGGAGAGTCGGACTCGACTGGTTTTTTATTTTTATTTTTATTTTATTTTTATCCCGCCCTTCCGGCCTAGGCCGGCTCAGGGCGGCTTACAGCAGAATAAAAGTTCTCATAATATATAAAACACAATTCGTTACATTAATACAATTCCTGATAAATGGTACAGTACAAGAAGGGGAACCTGCCATACTCGTGGGGGCGGGGAGCGCCACGTGGAGGAGAAGGAAGCAGCCGCGGGTGAGCCTTCTCCCCTGCCCCTTCCGCACCAACGGCGAGGCCCGCGCGGCCCGCCAAGCCTTCTCCCTCCTCCTCCCTGGCACTGAGGCCTGAGCTCGGCCCGTCAAGCCCTTCCCCTTCCCCCCCCCCACGGCAGTGGCAAGGCCTGAGTGGCTCACAGCCGCTGGCCCGCCAAGCCTTCTCCCGCCCCCTCCTGCCCCGGCAGCAGGACAGTTGCTGGGGCGTTCTCTGCGCATGAGCAGGGAAGGCTCTTGTACTTTTGGGGGGGATTTAAATATCCCCGGTATACTTTTTTCAACTTTTTAGATTTTTGTGCACATCTGGGGATTGCCCCAAATGTGCAGGAAAATCTCTTTGCCCCCTAGGTGGCTCTGATGTGCGGATTTAGATATCCGCATTCAAGGGGGAACCTTGGCTATTAGATATATAGATAAAACAATATATAAAACAATATTAATATCAAACAATACTAAAGTGCTAGCAATTCCAGTTTTTACTTTAGTTCTATTGGCCTGCTTCAGTTGGGAGGGGTTAGGACAGGCAATAGTCACAGGGACCAGTGGCTCAGGGCTTCCACCGTGATTGTCAGTTGTTTTTAATACTGCCACCGATAGTTGCAATTGTAGTGGTGGTGGTGGTGGTGGTGGTGGTGGCGGCGGCTCCAAAGGCCTGGTGGAAGAGCTCCATTTTGCAGGCCCTGCGGAACTGTAAAAGGTCCTGCAGGGCCCTGATCTCCTCGGGGAGCTCGTTCCACCATAGTGGAGCCGCCATCGAAAAGGCCCTGGCCCTAGTTGTCGCCAACCTGGCCTCCTTGATACTCGGGAGGACCAGTCGGTTCTGGGTCCCTGAACACAGTGCTTTCCGGGGCATATATGGGGAAAGGCGGTCCCTCAGGTATGTCGGACCCTGGTCATAAAGGGCTTTAAAGGTAAGAACCAGCACCTTGAAGCAAATCCAGTGTGCTATAGGCAGCCAGTGCAACGCCTTTAGCACAGGCTGGATGTGCTCCCGAATTGAGAGTCCCATCAACAGCCTGGCATTTTGCACCAGCTGCAGCTTCCGGATTTGCGACAAGGGCAGCCCCAAGTAGAGGACGTTACAGTGATCCAATCTCGACTGTGCGACTGAACAACAAAAAAAAGCATCTTAGAAAGCCATAAGATTTTTTGGTGTACCTTTCCCAGACGCCCTTAGTTACAATTTCCCCCCCCCTATCACGTCACCCATTTGTGTCGCTGCCTTCGGTCTTCTAGGGATCCTGCTAAAACTACCAGCTCTGGGGGTCTCAGGCAAGTTCTGTGTGCAATCAGTTTCCCTGCATGTGAGTAGACTGCACTGTATTTGTAACTCTTTGCTCCCTGCCACACGGCAGGGAAAACACCGGCCAAAGTGCGGCTAATTAGAGTCGCACCAAAATAGAGACGCCGCGGCGGGATCCCACGGATCCCCTGAGCCGCAGCGCCGTTGCTCCCTGGCACGATCAGATGCCGGGGAGGAAGACACAGTTGGGAGGGGGAGGCTGCCGAACTGCGCATGTGTGAGCATGCGCAGTTCGGCCAGGAACCGGGGATGCGCCGGCGGACAGACGCGCCGGCGATCCCACGGCCGGCCTTGATGCGGACTTCCCGGATGAACCACCTCGGTTTTTGCTGCGGGGTTTTCAGCAGAAAGGCTGGATTGGGAACAGGTGCGCAACGCTTCCCAGATGTTGCAGTGGGATCGCGCCCGTTTGCTGCGGCCCTGATCCGGCCCAAAACCTCTCGTGTGACCGGGGCCTTTGAGAAGCTAAAATACATGTGAATGCACAGGGGCTGCTCCTTTCCTGCTCCTTTTGAGTCTCAGGGAATACGCTTAAAGAAAGCAACTTAACTGAAAACCTGAATGAAAAATCTTATCCCCCGAGGCAAAGTGTGCCCACTCAAATCATGTCAGGATCTGTTTTCTGCCTCTGCACCTACCTTTATGTTTGGATAAGTGGGCTGACTCTTAGCCTATCGTCTTACAGTGCAATCCCATGCACAATTACCCAGAAGTATACTTGCAGTCGGTTTACGGCCAGTAAAGTTTGCATATGCCTGCAGTATTACTCTGCTGCATGGACATTTCATGCTTTTGAAAAACCATCCATGAAAACTAGTAAAGCTACTTTTCGAGCGACTGTGACCTGGAAGAAATAGTGCCGTTAAGCCTTTGGTCGCATCTAGGTAAATCCCACTAATCTGAACAGAACTGTAGCAACAAACGGTGTGCAAGATCACAATGGAAATCTGTTTTATTCTGTCAACCGGGTCTTACTTTTGGATACAGCGCCTATACAGAAACCAGCTGTAACACTTTATACCAAGATAGTTTCATAAGGTAGCTGTGTTGGTCTGATTCTGGAAAGCTTACAC